AACATTCATGCACTGGCAACAACATTCATGCGCTGGTAAGGTTCGCACAACATTCATGCACTGGCAACAACATTCATGCACTGGCAACAACATTCAGGCACTTGTAATGTTCGCACAACATTCATGCACTGGCAACAACATTCATGCACTGGCAACAACATTCATGCGCTGGTAAGGTTCGCACAACATTCATGCACTGGCAACAACATTCATGAACTGGTAAGGTTCGCACAACATTCATGCACTGGCAACAACCTTCAGGCACTGGTAAGGTTCGCACAACCTCCATGCACTGGCAACAACATTCAGGCACTGGTAAGGTTCGCACAACATTCATGCACTGGTAAGGTTCGCACAACATTCATGCGCTGGTAAGGTTCGCACAACATTCATGCACTGGTAAGGTTCGCACAACATTCATGCACTGGTAAGGTTCGCACAACATTCATGCACTGGCAACAACATTCATGCACTGGCAACAACATTCATGCACTGGTAAGGTTCGCACAACATTCATGCACTGGCAACAACATTCATGCACTGGCTCACTTCATTGTTTGACTTTAACAGACATGTGTCACTACCACGACACGTTACCACACGAGAGATGGACTACACAGTGCATATACAACACACAGTACAAGCCTGTGAAGTACTGACGGAGACTTAGAATTGGTTTAATTTTCAACGACGCACTCAGACATGTTCGTGCATAACATAACCATACAACCGAGACTAGACCAGGCAGTCGTGTGACTTAATGCGCTTAATTATGTTCTGTCTGAAGAGATAACTTTGACGATAGTGTATGTTCTAACATGTTTAATTCATTTTAATAAATATATTTGACATCATATATAATATATACATTAATATGTTTAGCATTAAGCGGTGTAACATATCAATAAATGTTTTATACCCAAGCCATGTATTAATAAGGCTGCGATATTATAACACATGCCACGCCATGCAGTACACATGATTTTAACGTAAGTATGTCGTGTGTTATTTAGAGAATATCCTGCGAAACGAGGCTATCCCCGCAAGCTTTTAAAATGGCACCGGAGCATCGCCGTATCCGATGCGAGGTGAGATAAATCTATGAGTTTTTATCATTGTTCCGGTCGATTTATCTTTGCGGAAACGATGACTGGCAGCCATCCGACAAGTTATAGGGAAGTTGTTCACCGTAAGTAATAATTTTCATTGATGTTTTTGCAAAACTGATGAGCGAATATCGCTTATCAACTATTGATTTTATCGCAGCTACCATGATGTTTCAAAACGAATTACTCGTGCTTTTTCTGAATACAATATTGATTTCTATTCTCGTCACATTAATACTATCATATCTATCATATCTATCATATCTATCATATCTATCATATCTATCATATCTATCTATCTATCTATATATATATCCTGGGTGTCTCTATCTATCTATCTATCTATCTATCTATCTGTCTATCTATCTATCTATCTATCTATCTATCTATCTATCTATCTATCTATCTATCTATCTATCTATCCTGGGTGTCGTTGTACAAAGCGATATTAGCGTGTCGGTGATCGTAACTTCCATACCTTAAGATATAGACAGTCTTAAAATTAGGTCTAAGGTTGTTTTGTACAACGGCACCCGGGAACTAATATTTATACTAATGTAGGTCACATGATGATAACATATCGACTTTCAAACAATTACATTTATTCTGGTCAGAATATACATATTTCTAGATTGGAAATGGACTACACTTATAAAGCTAATATGAATGCATATACAGACATAAATAAATAATGTATAAAACAGTTACAGTTTTAATTTATGCTTTATTGGATTCTTTTTACGATTTATATTCATACACAAATTAAAAATCAATTGGGGGTCTTGAATGAATTGAATGTTTTAAATTTCAGTCCTAAATTTGTGTGTTGTAAACAAGTATACCCCTTAGCAAAGAATACTGAAATCAGAGACAATCCCATCCATATTTGCATGGACTGTGGCCACAACACCAAAGAAGCCCGCCCCCCTTGATCCTATAGGCCAGAACGTCATAGTGTAAGAGTTTACAACTATCCACTATAATAATATGTGTATTAATAAATGTCATAAATCAAGATTGCATCATAATTGTTTTTTACTTTAATTATGAAACATTCATATTAAATCAGTATTATTTTGTTTGTAATGTGAGAACCTGGTTCAAGGAGGTGTGATTGACATGAGGTTGAAGCGAATGATCATTCCACACTGAATGTGGGGTGTGAGGCACAATTTGAAATAAAGGAGATGCAGGTCCATGTTGAACAATGGGAGAACCATCTACTCAATAACCATCTGGCTCTTGAGAATTTTGGAGTATCAAGACTGACTGACTGAGTATGGTTTTACGCCGCTTTTAGCAATATTCCAGCAATATCACGGCGGGGGACACCAGAAATGGGCTTCACACATTGTACCCATGTCGGGAATCGAACCCGGGTCTTCGGCGTGACGAGCGAACGCTTTAACCACTAGGCTACCCGACCGCCCCTGGAGTATCAAGAACTAGAACTGACCCGTTTCATGCAATATTATATTTCTTTACTGACTTTGATACTTTCAAGTGATGTTTATATTTTGATCAACCCAGTGCCACCAAAATGTGTAGCATGTATTATGTTTGTTTGTTTCCTTGGCTGGAAGACCCAGGACCATGCTGTTGACTGCACTGAAATAAAAGTTCAAATCCCATCGGCCTTTGAACTCAAAAGTTTTATACACTTTACACAACTAGCCGCCCACTCTAAAGCCTGATTGGTATAGCCCCTCACGATGCTGTGAACTTTGTATCATGTTTGTCTACAGCTGGTATATCTGATGTTGAGATGACAAAGCTGTGAAGTGTTTGGTATTTTACTTGATCTTGTACAGCCTGGTGATAGTGTGGGGGCAGACCAAGGCGTTTACTATTGCCACTACTTTGCACACAAGAAATAGTCTCAATATCCTTGAGAGTCCATGTGGCAGAATTTTCAAAACTACCAATCAGCTGTGGACAGTTGCTTGGTTATGGTTTCCCTTGCACACTCCTATAGAATTATGCTAAAATTGCCTGTGAGAGATAAAAGTGTCAAATCGTTTGAGACGCAAATATTTTATTACACAATGTACATACGTTGTATTTAAACTGATGTCCATAGCGCTGGCTCGATCTGTCTGATGGCACAGACACAGTTTGTTGCAGAAACCCTCACTTCAGATAAATATGAAAAAATACATTGAAGTTGTGAAGAAAAACATGCAGATGTCAATTGTGTGAATGCAATTTTAAAAGTGTTCTACTATTAAACACTTCATACATTGTGCCGAGTCACTTTTGACTTTAAAAAAAAAAAAATTTTAATATAATTTGCATTAACTGCATGGTATGTTTCCCAGAATTATTGTTGGAGTTTAATGTAACTTCCATACCCATTGATACAAATTAATTTGATTAATTGAACATGAATACGACATATTTATTTCATAGTCCTTACCTCTAGGTTATGTGGGATGAGTCCTGCTGGAGGGATGTAGTATCCGTGATCTCTGTTTATGGCTGGCTGAATTCTTTTGATGCAAAAGCTCAGAAAATTTAGAGAAGCCATTTGCATCGAAAGAATTCAGCCAGCCATAAACAGAGATCAAGGATACTACATCCCTCCAGCTTACCATGATCTCATCAGCTCGCCAAAACAACACTGAACTATTATCTCCCCGCTGGCTTCCCATACATTCATTCTTAGTAATCCTTGTGTTAATCACATACCCATCAATTACTGTACATCAACCCTATCTCTTGTATAAACTTGTCTATCATAACTACCTAATCAATCAGTGTACATCAACCTTATTTGTTATATAAACATCTATCTATTGTTATGTATATATATCATGCTCATACCTAGTTTTGTTATGTATATATATCATGCTCATACCTAGTTTTGTAAAAAAAAAAATCACCAAAACTGGCATAACCTATATCAAAATTCAAATAGCCAGATCAAAAAGGTTCTAAAAAAAACCCTTACCAAACAAAAAATTCTACATCCGTCCAAAAAAATTGACAGAGTAATCACTAAACTCCAAACAGGACATACCAACCTAAATAACCACCTCAAAATAATAAGAAAACACGCAACAGGAACCTTCCCACATTGCAAACAACAAGAAACCCCAGAACACGCACTCATACACTGCATCCACTACCTAACACACCGAACTACACTACAAACCACCCTAAATCTAAATAAGGCTCTTACTCTAGAAGCAATCCTAAATCCACAAAATAAAATAGAAAAATTCAAAGACTTAGGACTAATAAATCGCATTTAAAACCCCAATAAACTACCAAACCACATAATCAAACTAACAAACTTCCATACTCAGGTCCCTTAGTTCGCCCCCCAAACCCTCTTGGCATTTTTTCCAAATCTCAAAATTTCCAAAATTCTATAAAAGCAACCACTAAAACACCCCTACTGGATTGCCAAACAACTTTTTCCCCTTTTCGGAAACACATTAAATGGCTTGGCCGGGCCCGTGTGCGAAATACGCTGCAGTCGGAAAGCGCACGTAAAATCTCCAATATAAGTAAGTAAGTAAGTAGTTTTGTACATCATCTGCTTGATAAGGGTATTAGAATCTACACCGAAACGTCGCCCAATTGTAATAAAGAAGTTGCTCATCCATAACAATTTTGACTTTGTTAATATCCTAACGCGTGATAAACTAACGTCTATCTAAATGTGTAGAGTTTCCCAAATTGATATGGATTACAGAACATATGTAATTTGTTGAATGGACTGTGTGAGATGTGACGAATCGTTTGTTAATTGATAAATACACCTATTTGATTAAAAAAAAATCTAATCATGGATTTGTCGTAGTGCTCGACTTGAATGATAGCGTGAGGCGCGTAAGTAATTGAAGCTTTCGTACAATCATTGCCCTAGTAGGGGAGGTCACTCTAAAAGTAAGTGCTAGCACATGTTCATAACAACATGGCGGGCTTAGAACTTCTGTCTGATCAGGGCTTTCGAATTGATGGGCGTAGACCGCATGAGTTACGAAAGATCCAATGTCGGCTAGGGGTTTTCAAGCAAGCAGATGGTTCAGCGTATATTGAGCAGGGAAATACGAAGGTTTTAGCAACAGTATACGGCCCACACGAGGTAACCGGCTAACTGCCACTTCAGGAACAAGGGACATTTAAATCCCGATGCGCTACTTTCCCATTGCAAAGCCAGGAAAGACTTCCGCCCGTATCCCCCCTCCAAATTTTTTATATGTATGCATAGCCGCTCAATCCTTTTAGCTAGGCCTATATATATTTTTGAGGGGGTATTCGGGCGTAAGTCTTACCAACACGTCTTGGAGAATTGCAAACCTAGACATTTGCTAGACACAACAATCTCACACGGCCCTGCATTTAGTGCTCCAAGGAATAAGTTATTCTACTTTCAAACATGATATACGGGTTACATTTAGTAAGATATCAGCTTCAATATTTGCAGCCCAACACACACAGAATTATAAACTGACTCAATGTTATCACATTTTCTTAATCATGAATGTCAAGTAAAGTTTATTGTTTTTTTAAAATGATAAACTACATATTGTGACATATTTCTTTCTTTATTTTATTTTCCATAGCATAAATCTGTAAAAAATAAAATTTTTAAAAGTGTGTCCTTACATAACATGATAATGTATGACGACAAAAAGACAAAACTTTGTACTATTTCAGATTAGAGGCAGTAGAGGAAGAGCCTTACATGACAAGGTTCTGGTGAACTGTCAGTACAGCATGGCCACCTTCAGCACCGGGGAGAGGAAGACACGCCCCCGTGGTGACCGCAAGTCCCAGGAGATGACCATGCACCTCCGACAGACCTTTGATGCAGCTATTATGACCAGCCTCTATCCTCGATCACAGATTGATATTTTCGTGGAGGTAAGACAACCATATTCCTTTGTTTACAAATTAGAGTGACCAGAGCCAAATGTGCAATCTAATAATTCATAATGGAAAAGTTTTCATGTGTCATTTACAAGCAGAACAAGCCAAGAAATTAAGGTAAATCAGAATTGAAACAATAAAATACACAATGACCTATTACAATATAGTTAGTATACAGTTGGTCTGCGGCCTCCCCTTCAGACCACCTCGAGTCAGGTCCACATTGACCTCATCAAGAATAACTACTGTATTCGACGTATAAGCGCTCAGGGCGCTCTCAAAATTAGAAATAGGGGGCTCTTATTAGAATATTACTTTGGTGAAAAAAAACAGAGTTGAAAGATTAATTTCGTGGTTTATGCTGACAGCCTGAAATGTTTATGTACGACAGATATTATTTTCCAGAATTTAATTGCCCATAATTAAGGGTGCATATAGCACATGAGTGCGTATTATGCGCGAAAAAATAAGTCTTGTGTACATTGATCAATCGGAAGGGGTGCCAATTGGGATTGTTCACTAGCCAATATATTAGCAAATATTGCCGTGGGCGCTTTTTAGAGGGGGCGCTTATTACGTCAAAAACGGTATTTGTATAATGTATTTTTCAATTGATAATTCCCACCTTCTGATGAGGAATTAAATAAGAGTCTTGTTAAAATTGGCTCTTGGCAGGTTCTTCAGTCCGACGGCGGCAACTACTGCGCTAGTGTGAATGCCTCAACGCTAGCGCTCATAGATGCCGGCATTCCCATGAAGGACTATGTGTGTGCATGCTCGGCAGGCTTTGTGAACGATTCCCCGCTAGTCGACATCAGCTACCTGGAGGAGTCATCGGGTGGGCCAGAGCTGATTGTCGCCACCTTGCCTCAATCAGAGCAGATTGTGTTTCTAGAGATGAACTCCCGGCTTCACGAGGACAACCTCAACAAGGTCCTTGACCAGGCCATGAAGGGTTGTAAGGACATCTATCAGGTGCTCAACACTGCTGTCCGAGAACACGTCAGTAGCACGGTCACATCACTCGGCTGGGAGACTTGACAATGGCACTTTATTGTACATGTTTGTCATATTTTTGTAAATAATTAGTATCTGACTCAAACATTATGTTTTTCTTGTTAATGACACTTCTATTGGGCAAAGGGTGGCCAACAGATTAAATTCTTGTCTTTGAATGCTGCCAGCCTACCGAAAGTTGAGTTTGTGCACAGAGCCTTTAATGACGAGAACCTTGTGTTGTGTGGCCCTGTGACCTGAGGTGGTTATTATCTCCTGTCACAAAGTGGAAGTTGGATATTGGAATGGGTGTTATGTGTCGGTGCTTCTGTCTTTCCGGGGCAGAACTAAAAAATATATGAGAGATATCTTAACCAATCTTGGGAAATAGATAGGTCTTGTGGTAAACTGGTGCCTTTTGATAGTTTGGGATTTTTGAAAAAAATATCCTGACTTTGTTTCAGGTTAAGCTCAGGTTGAGAACTAACTGCTAATATCTCGTCATCAGGCATACATCATTGTGTACAAATTAGAGATTGAAGTAAAGTATCTTTTTAAAGTGACTATCCATGATCATGTCATGTTTGACAGTTCTCTATACAATCAGATCTATTTGAGAGTCAGCTAATATATAATTGCACAAACATTTAACATTGTTACAATTGTAATATTGTGTTCAAATTAGATATCTTTTACAGTAATCAATTATGATTAATAACAAAAAACTTTCAAATTAAATAATTTATTGTAATAGGTAAAGTCACATGGCATTGCCAATATCAGCATGGACACTTGCATTTCATTTTGGCTAATGATTTCATATATTAATTCAACTATCATCAAGTACCATATTCAACATAATAAGCGCCCAGGGCGCTCTCAAAATTAGAAATAGGGGGCTCTTATTAGAGTTGAAAGATCGTAAATTTCGTGGTTTATGCTGACAGCCTGAAATGTTTATATACAACAGATATATATTTCCAGGATTCAATTGCCCATAATTAAGGGTGCAAATAACACACGAGTGCGTATTATACACGAATAAATAAGTCTTGTGTACATTGATCAATCGGAAGGGGTGCTAATTGAGATTGTTCACTGGCCAATATATTAGCAAATCTCACCGTGGGCGCTTATGTCGAATACGGTAAGTCAAATAATGAACTTGGAGCCCTTCATGGATGCTGGTTGTTTTATCTGCTGACCATTGGAGGCAACAGGTCACCAGGAGCTCCATATCTTCAAGGGGCATAGTGCATGTCAATATACAAGGATCAGCAATAAGGTGGTTATAGTGGCAGTGAAGAACATATAGTACATGGCTGGGTGGTCACTTTTACACTCCTGAAGAACGGGGGTAGAAAAGGTCTTCATCAACCCATGCTTGCCGTAAAATGGCGACTTTGCTTGTCGGAAGAGGTAACTAAGGGGATCGGGTGATCAGGCTTGCTGACTTGGTTGATACATGTCATGATCCCAATTGTGTGGACTGATGTTCATGATGCCAGACACTTGATTGTCTGGTCCAGACTGGATTATTTACATATCGCCGTCATATTGATGGAATATTGCTGAGTGCGGTGTGCGGTGTTAAACACACAAGTTGGGGCATGAGTGGCCCAGTCATCTATAGTACTTATACATCATAACGATGGTACTTGTTACCCAGATTAAACAAGGACTGGTCGATCTACACGTTAAATTGCGGCATGGTATAGCAATGGACCAGCACTATGAAGCCAACATTAGTCCGACTAATGCATACAAGTGCATGCACGTCACCATAAAAGTGCAGTGATCTTGAACCTGGTGTTAGACCGTATTTCTCCTCACCTGTCAATGACTATAAACAAAATTGGAAAAGTGATTTGGCTTTGCTCTGTAAAGAATGAGGCCCAGGTCAGTGTATTTCTCTTACATGCAAGTAGGGGTTGGTAAGCCTTGTGGTTGGAGCATTCGCTAGGTAGCTCTTTACACTGAAGACACAGATTTCATTCCCCATTGTCCGCGCGTGTCACCCCGACTATGAGCCTACATGGAGGATGCAGCAGTAATGGATCTATGCCATGAAATGACCACAAGCAAGAAAATCGTGTTCAATGGAAAATGGGTGAAGCCTTTTTCTGGAATATGATATGTAATAGACCAGAGAGGTCGTACATGGGTAAATACGGTAAAAGATGGATAAGCACAAGTAACATTTAAAGTTTCCTCACAACAGGTGAGGTGAAATGGGGTTTAACGTCGCGTCCAAGATTATTGCACTTATATAGCGACGTGCATGTACGTGTGTGTGTGTGTTTGTGTGGCTGCTTGTACTAGTCCGGACTGATGCCGATTTATAGTGCTTCCTCACTGAGATACCATGCCGCAGTTTAACATGAATACCCCACTCAGACACAGTATACTGACTCCGAGCCGACCAGTCCTTGTTTTAGCCCCTTGATGCCGAGCGCCAGACAGGGTAACAATAAGTTCCATCTTTTAACGTCTTTTGGTATGACGCGGTCGGGGATCGAACCCCGGACCTTCCGCTACCCGGGCGGACGCTCTACCACTAGACCACGGAGGCGGTCCTCCTCACAACAGACATACTCTCAATTTACACAGTGAAACGAGAATTTCTGGCTATGCTTCCGCACTGTTGACAGCCGCAGCTGTATCTTGAGGTCAAATACAAACGATGTGTTAAATATGACAAAACATTCCAACATATCACGTTATTAGGCATACCACATAATCACCGTAATTTCATAACGGTGCATACAATGGTGAAACATGACGTAGAGGCGAACAAGTGGTTATATATTGCTATTGTGTAATGTACATGTGTATTAGAATTATAGCCAATTTCATATCAACTATATTTGTTCCCTCTTAAAACACATATTTGGGATCGACCATTTGATTTTATATTCTATGGAGAGAGAAGAATATTGTCCAAGAATATGCTCTAAAATTGTAATTATGCTTCAGACTGTTGTACAAAAGAAATTACCTCAATAATTGTTGCAAAGTGTTTTACATTTTTAACAAAATTAGGCAAAATTACAAAAAAAATTCTGATTTTGCAGCTGTATCTGACAAAATATCTACTCTCCAAACCAGAATATGAAATGGTCCGCCCCAAATACACGTCCAACCGCTTAACCCCCAAGGCCAATAAGATGAACGTCATACCCATCGCCTCAGCCGTACATTCAGTACATTGTATTTGAATTCATATCAACTGTTTTCTCCCTACGAAAGTGCCTTGCTATACACAGCAAACAAATTAACTGTCTAAAGCCAACGGGATGAACGTCTTACAAAAGAATCTGACGCCTTCAACTGTTTTCACGACCTGACCAATTTGAACTGGATGAATGTAGTTAAAGTTCTTGTGGAACTGTTGTTGCAGAGCACTGCCTTCACCACGGGTCACATGGTGACCATCTAGGTAATAAACACTCCGTTGGTCTTCAATCCCACCGATGGCCGTTGGGATCGTTATCTCGGCCGGCAGACCGTATCTTGTAAGAAGACGCGCAAAGAACAGGAACTCTGACTTGTAGCTCTGTGGCACGTAGACGATGTCGGAGACTTGAGACAGGTAGATGTCGTCACTGGCGTAGTTGCGGTTGTCACCGAGTCTTCTCTTGAATGTGGTGTACATCGTCTTGTTTGTCTGTTCCAGGTCTATCATGGCTTTCATAAATGACTTTGAGTTAGTCCTGCAACACAGTATAGGAACACAGTATAATTTAGTGACACATCCATAATTATGTTGTTTGAAATAAGCCAATTCATTCATAATAACAAAACAACACCGGACAATATGCTTGTATATGATGGGTCAGATTTATACCAAAACATCCGGGACATCGTCAGGGGTCGTCAACGATACTTACTTCCCTCTTAATATCTGTTCCCATGTACCCTTCTTTTATGGCATATTACTTTCTGTTATCGCTTTTGCATTCCTGAAGAGGTGAGGTGAAATTGGGCTTAACGTCGCGTCTAAGATTATTGCACTTATATAGCGACGTGCATGCACGTGTATGTGTGTGTGTGTGTGTGGCTGCTTGTACTAGTCCGGACTGATGCCGATTTATAGTGCTAGCTCACTGAGATACTATGCCGCAGTTTAACATGAATACCCCACTCAGACACAGTATACTGACTCCGAGCCGACCAGTCCTTGTTTTAGCCCCTTAATGCCGAGCGCCAGACGGGGTAACAACAAGTACCATCTTTAAACGTCTTTTGGTATGACGCGGCCGGGGATCGAACCCCGGACCTTCCGCTCAACCACTAGACCACGGAGGCGGTCGCACCCCTGAAGATTCCGGGTCAGAATAGGAACCCAGCAATCGTGCTTGTTACAGCTCAGTTATAAGGATTGGGTGGCTACAATGTCTGACCTGGCCCACTGTGTGTCATCATACCCCGACAGAGGTTTGCCTGGCCAAAGGTTTGATCATTTATATGCCTTCGTTGTGTAGCTGCAGTGCTGCTAAATGTGCATGAGTTAAATCAACATTCACTCTTAGCCCCGTGGTCTAGTGGCAGTGCGTCCACCCTGATAGCTGATGGTTCGGGGTTCGATCTCCGGTCGTTCCATACTAAAAGATGGTATTTGTTGTTACCCTGGCGCTCGGCATTTAGGGGCTAAATCAAGAACTGGTCGTCTCGGAGTCAGGTTAAACTGCGCAATGGTATCTCAGTGTGCTAGCCCTATAAAATCGCATTAGTCCGGACTAGTACAAGCAGCCACACGCACACATACACACGTGCATGCGCGTTGCAACATAAGTGCGATAATCTTGAACGCGAAGGTAAACCCCATTTCACCTCACCTAACCCTGTGGGGATTCCGGGTTAGCATAGGTCCGAATCAGTCCTTTACGGGGCGCACTCATATAGTTGTAATATTGGTGAGTGCGGCGTTAAGCAAGAACTAACAGTACTTACCTGGACTGATACCGGACACGAGGGCTGCTTGTCTTTTTAGACACAGGCTGGATGAACCAGATCTTGTCCCGAGGCAGCACGCCGAGCGTCCACACATGGAGGAGAGTGTCGTCGGACACCATCAGATACCCACCAGCTCTGTAGTTCATCTCCATTGTTTTGATTAAACACTTTTGGGCAAACGCTCCCTTGTGCACGTCCATTTCTACGATCGTCACCTTCTCCGTCGATGTTTTATAGATCTTATTAAACTTAGCACCACAGTAAACGATGTGTGTGAACTGGAATCCGTACAGAGCTTCGTACGTTCTGATATTGTCATAATGGGTTGGATCCTTGAGGATGACAACCAGTACAATGTCATTGAAAGTCGTATGGATTCCCCGGGGTGGTCTGATGTCCAGTCTTGGACATAGTTTGTTCACCTTTGCCAAGTGGTGATGCAGGAGCTCACTGGACGCGGTGATGTCCACGCCAGCTGGGACTTGAACTTCTGGCACAAACTGGACATTGGTCAGGGAAGATGTCCGCCGCTTCCCATGCCTTTTCCGTGTGTGCTGCTTCCGTTTGGAATATGGGATCCGCTTTGGCTCTTTGTAACCCATTGTCTTTAGATCTTGCAGCCAGTGACGAATGATTTCGGCATCTGCTTTTCTCCAAAACGTTTGTCTTGCCATGTCGTCAGACAGCGCTATCACACAGTCAAAGAAAGAGTCACGGGGATTGCAGTTCCATTTTCTGAGAAATTCGAGCAGTGTCTCTGATTTAAAATACATATCGTGCTCCAAGTTCGCATCGGCTAAGTTCGTTTCGTTATTGTGTTCCTGGAAACAGTTCGGGGGGAAGAAGCCAGTGCCCCCTCCCATCTCCCAAAGGAGTCTCTGTGCCCAATATCCCCGCCAGATGTCACTGACGAAGCTTGGTATGGTCGTGGGTAGCAGAAGAGCCCAGAAAGCATCATAGGTAAACAGAGTGTTATAGGAATTGAGCGTGGAGAACACGCCACTCGGAACAAACGCAGGTGGTGCTATGGCGTCAAACGTTATGTTCGGAGCTAAATGTTTCCTTGTGCGTGTGAGCTGAACGATTGCGTCCACATCAGGACTGCCGTTAACGAGTCCCTGCTGTATAGATGGAGTCGTCCAGTCGTCGAGGATGTAGCTAAGAGAGGCGTTGTCCCCGACCGAGCTGAGGGGGTACCCGCGAGGCCATAGCGTTGGCTGTCCAAAGTGATTATAAGGATTGAACAAATTGATGCCGTCATAAAGCAAGCCTGTCGTGTTTGGTGTAAGGATAAACTCTGTGAGGTTCCTGGTTGGCCGGTGGTACTCGTCAGTCTCGTAAATGACCCTGGCGCCGTGGGCGATGGCGTACAGGTAGCCGATGTTCTTCCTGGCGTAGCTGTCCTTCGGGAGATGTGGCGCCGTGCTGAACCCAAGGAGGGTCTGGTCCTTGGGGCCCAGGTATACACAGTCCTTGTGTCTGTAACATATACCATATCAATCAGGTCTCAGTCCATGTGTTGAACTTACCTCAGTGAGTTGGCTTCTGTGGCGCTGTAAACAGCATTTCTGTCAGGCGTGTCAGCTTAATGCTGGACAAGACCAAATCCATTCAGGCCTTTCACTCGGTGGAGTGCACGAGAACGATTTTGTGCTGACAAACCAAGAATTGTGATCTTGTTGAGTCTGGGTTTTTCGAAACGATGTAAGTCAGATTAATTTTACTTACGTTCAAAGATGAGATATCTTAAGTTTAAGGTAAGATGCATTTTCGAAACTATCTTAAATCGGCCGCAGGATTATGCATACCGAATGCATGCCCTATGACCTAACCTTAAGGTACGCATGCGCAAATTTAGTAAATGAAGGTATTCTTCTCTGTAGAAGTTACTTACCTGTTCGTACCTACATCAGAGAAAAACCCATACGTGTCCATTCCATTCTATTATGATTGTGTATGCATACTAGAATAGAATGGAGACACACTGAATAATCGAGTGTAGCCCACTACAACGTGAACTACGTCATATACTTGCGACCTCCGCAACGCGGACCACGTCATATACTTACCACTGCAACGTGAACTACGTCAGATACTTACGACCTAATCAACGTGGACGACGTCATATACTTACGACCCTTCAATGTCGACGACGTCATATGCTTACGACCACTGCAACGTGGACTACGACATATACTTTCGCCCTCTGCGACGTGGACAACGCCATATACTTACGACCACTGTAACGTTGTCTACATCATATACTTACGACCACTCAGACGGAGACTTTCTGTCGCCGACGACTACGACCTTCCATCCAGGTATTTGTGCTAGAAACTTGACGTTGTCGTTGGGCGTAGCGGTTGCAGTTGTCACTATCCACTTATCGCTGTACTTGCCGTTCAGGATTCTGCCGCTTTAAGAAAAGTAAACACATTCAGGGAACAGATAAAAATGATAAACACAGAAAATATCATTCCACTGCATAAATGATATCAATAGAAATCGTTGAGCAACACCAACTCATCCAAAACTGTTTTATTTATAGAAATAACCACGATAACAAAAGCTTGACGAGTCAGTACATATAAACAAATCACCACGAGACTAATTTCATGACAGTAAATCTAAATGACTATTTTGTAAAGACTATTGAGTTCTGCGTGAAATATTTTATTCAGCACATTTTATTCGTATATCAAGCCAATTAATTTCAGAAAAATACGCACATATAATTTGTGTCATGAGTATTTACCAATTTAAGGATACATGAAAATCCTCCACTTACAAGTCCGAGAGACGGCTCATATCTCCAGTACTGGTGTGGTCGTGGTAATTCCCTTGGCCATAATGCGTGGCAAAATTGTACAATGCCAGAATCATTGACCCAAACAAGCTTGCTAAGGGAGACATTTTCTGCGACCATCACCCCAACTTCATCCACGGTTTAATGCGTTGTGAGATTATCTTAGCTAAACTGTCACGCCTCGGAGTTAATCCCCGTCGTGGTGGTGATGAGACGTCGACGCTAGGGGCCGCTGTCGTGGAACGGGAAGTGCCCAGCTATACAGTGGACAACATGCTGACACGAGGCGAGCGTTGTTATTGTTTGCTAATTGCACATTATAGATACAAAAAACATTAATGTGTGTTTACAGGCCTTTTTGTATATGAAATAATTCAGTCCGGATCAATTCCTCATACTTCTTACTGGGAAGCAAGAGATGTGGCCTATCGCCATCGTGGCAAGATGGCGACGATAAACAAAAGGTTTTGACGCAACGCAGAAACTACCACGAACAAGTCTGTAATAAGGCATTTTTATACCCATAGGGTTATAAAAAAAACAGTTCATTAAATCGTTTGCGCACCAGTTTATTGTTTACGTCATCCAGATCTCATTATGACGTAAGGTCGGAATGACGTTATAGATGACGATTATGGTTTTCTAAGAAGGCGGTCGTGATCAGTGCATTTTTATAAAGGGGATCTCAAAAGGATTAAGAAATGATGGGTATTAATTTATTTATAAAGAAATTATCTCCCTCGGGAAATACAAGAATTTTTACACTCGTTTCATAAAATCAGTATGACAAACATGCTCGTATCTTAATCTCTATCAATGCTATGTGGCTACTATTTCGGAAGGTAATGAGGGCGATGAATATCCTAGTACTAGTGGGTGAAACGTTAGCTTGGACGTCAACGATCCGGGTTCGAACCCGACATGGGTACAATGTCCATTCCTTATGCATAAACCCGGCCTTGCACCTCTTAGGTGAGTATGTTCCTTTTGCCAACCACACTATCTGGAAAGTAATGCCAGGCTACATTGAAAACCAAACAGAAAGCACACCTTCGTCATAGTCTTTTATTCTTTAACAAGATAAACGCCCAAGTCCTGCATCACGTCTGGGCTTCTTGCCACACCATGCCGACGCATCATATTATAACTGTTCAAAGCTGTCTGGGATATCTGTTTTTTTCAGTCAGTCCACACAAGTAAAATAATTTAAACTGTAGCTTATCCCGGTGTCAATAATGTGTACAATATACATATTTCTTCCCTTACGGGACAGTCGGGTGGTTAAAGCGTTTGCTCGTCACGCCGAAGACCCGGGTTCGATTCCCGACATGGGTACAATGTGTAAAGCCCATGTCTGGTGTCCCCGCCGTGATATTGCTGGAATATTGCGGCGTAAAATCAAACTCACTCACTCACTTCCCTTACGCATACCAAAATAAGGCGTATGGGTCACAGTGTTGGCTGGTCACGTCGAAGGCCCGGGTTCGATTCTCCACAGGGGTTCAATGTGTGAAGCCATTTCTGGTGTCCCTGCCATGATGTTACCCATGATTTCCTCCGCTTATCATGGACCATGAGAAGGCCAGGTATTTGAAGACTATTGTCGCTATGAGACTTCTCAACCTTTCCACATAGAATAACGCCATAGCACCCAATGGTATGGTACCATGCATTACATATACATTCATGGTAAGTAGACTGCCGGCCATACTTGAATAGAGTCTCTACAATCACAGAATAGTCTGCCGCAAGCCCACCGTATCAAACACTACAGCCTCGATATCACTTTGGAGCGGGACCCGCTCCTCGGGTTCTGATTGGCTAAAATCTGTGTTCGACGTCGGACATCCTTCTGAAACGACAATGTTACTACGTCTTCCTTTCCGTCGTCCACCTGTAATATTACATGAATCAGTTTTATCTCAAACATTATACTTGATATTTGAAAATCATTTTTCAAAAACAAACTAGTTTTAACACTTAACAACAACAAAAAGATAGGGATCATAAATACTATGGGGGATATTTTTTGTAGTAAAGACTGAGCATACAACTTCATAAAAATATCCCCCCATAAATTCATGATCCCTTTGTTCACTATAGTCTGAAATTGAGCCACCAGACTTGCAAGAGCCACAAGATTTGCAACATCATTTAAAGGTGAAGGTCATGATAAAAGGACAAAAACAATATGCTTGAATAACTTAAATAGCCCGAGTTTTGATAAACTTCATGAATGTTTCAAATGACAAGCCATATCAGGGTAAAAATTACAAAAAAGCATATCCGATTTCATAATGATGCATGGGAGATGGGTAATAACGACTTTTTCAAAATGGCTGCCATGCCGACCATATCGAACAGTGGCTAGTTCTGAATAGATACTATTTTGTAACTACTATTGCTGGGATCAAAGCAAAGCTGTCAAATAGACATGCTGTTTTCAAAGAACATTTTGAAAATGTAAAAGTTTACGACAAAAACGGACAACTCATTTGAACCTTTAAGAGAGTTTGAAAACATGCATTACACATAATAATAGCGACTGCCACAGCCACCACGGCAACTAGGAACACCGAAGCAAAACCGACGGCGACTGGGTTGATTTGGAAAACGACATCGTCAACACCTGAGGAAAGAATAAACCTAAATGAAAGAATGAGTAAAGGTAAGAACAATTCAGTATGATGATTATAACAAAAGAAAACATGCCTCCCCTTACTGATTTCATAATACGATCTCACTGGCGACAGTCACCTCATACCAAAAAGTGAGTGTTTCAGTTACTTCCACAATAGGGTTGCATGGACTCCGCCCTAAATGTATAACGCCGGTGAAACGTGTACATTTTGGCATTAAGACCGGTGAAGGTCCGGGAAGAATAGGTCTTCAGCAACCAATGCCTGTCGTAAAAGGCGATTATGTTTGTCGTAAGAGGCGGCTAACGGGATCGGATGGTCAAGCTCGCTGACTTGGTTGATGTATGTCATCTTATTCCAATTGCGTGGATCGATGCTCATGATGTCAATCACTGGATTGTCTGGTTGACTCGATTATTTACAGACCGCCGTCATATAGCTGGAATATTGCTTTGTGCGGTTGGTTGGTTTGGTTGGTTTGTTGTTTAACGCCGCACTCAGCAATATTCCAGCTATATGACGGCGGTCTGTAAATAATCGAGTCTGGACCAGACAATCCAGTGATTAATATCATGAGCATCGATCCACGCAATTGGGATCGATGACATGCATCAACCAAGTCAGCGAGCCTGACCACCCGATTCCGTTAGTCGCCTTTTACGGCAAGCATGGGTTGCTGAAGACCTATTCTACCCCGGAATCTTCACGGGTCGTTTAGTGCGGCGTTAAACAAACAAACAAACACACAAACAAACAAACAAACAAACAAGGTGGCAGAAAAGACATCGAGTTGTACTAAAAGGCGGGATGACCTAAAGTAACACGTGGTCTACATAAGCCACAATAGAACTGTCAGCACTGTAACACTTGACTGAACGTATATAGGAAAACGAACAGTATATTCTTGTGAACAGTGTCCTGTCCTGTGCTCTTTAAATCACAGGATACATACGTTACTTTCAATCAGCGCAGCATAACAATTTGAATCTGTATAAAGAAAGACACTTATCATCCTTTCAACCAATCCAAATCCCAATTTACAATGAGCCATTACTTGTTGGACACAGGTCCTCGGATTCGTCTTCCCCGTAGTAGCAGTCACGCTCGCCATTACAGACCACGTTGTTCCACATCAGCACGGGGTTGTTATGGTGATCTGTGACGTCATTGGGTATACATGATATGGTGCCCAATTTTCTTCCTCTTATGCGGTAGCAAATATCTGAAGAAAAAATCACACAGGCATTACGGTAAAGTGCTCGACAAAAAGACAAAATGATGAATGGACAACGGGCTAGAAAAGGCCCCGCTACCTGTGTTGGGTGGTCTGGCGTAGTGACTTGGTTGAGTGCATGCCATCCTACACGACGGCCATCTTCACCAGGCAAGGGAGTTAACTGACAGTAAAAGTCCAGTTTCCAACCTTGAGGAACTAAGCTGGAATTTCTGGGCTCGATCGTTGCGCCACCAGTTGCTATTACGAGTTATGTCCCTTCTATGTCTCTCCTTTTGACCAATCAGATTCCACCTCTCATATCAGTTGCATTTGCTTCATACAAAATGGCGGCGCCCAGTGAAGACGATCTGATCGATAATGAAGATCTATATTGCAATAATTCTAGCCTGGTTCGGCAATGGTGGAAACTGGACTTTTATAGTCAGTTAACTCCCTTGCCTCGGGAAGATGACCCATGGCGTGGATCTCTGGGCATAATATCAATCATTGAATTGTTTAACCCAGACTCCATTATTTAAAGGCTGCCGTCATATAGCTGGAATATTACCGCGTGTGGCGTTAAACAAAAACAGTCCACTCGACCTACCCTTCCTCTCGTCGGTGCCGTCGGGGCAGTGCCGGACGCCGTCGCAGAGGTACCACAGGGTCTTGCCGTAGTCGAGGTTGTAGCGGGGGAGTTGTGGTCTGATGCACACGCCATTAGAACACTGGAAGCATGGCGAGTCAGGAGGGGGCACTGCAAAAGAAAATGGGAAATATGCAGGCCACGGGTATACGACGAATCAGCATCTCCTATCGTCTTACGTCATCGTATCCTACTTGTGTGGAACGATGCTCATGATATCATTCACTTGATTGTCTGGTCGAGACTCGATTATTTATAGACCGCCGTCATATAGTTGGAATATTGCTGAGTGCGGCGTTAAACAACAAACAAATAAATAAACAATGTTAATATAACAAATATTAGAACACACAAAATGATAACATGTTGTGACATACATTTGTGGCAAAACTCGTCTCTCGCGTTGACACAGTCACGCTTGCCGTCACAGAGGGTGTCCTTGCCGACACACTGCACGGGAGAACACTGGAACATACTGCCGTTACACGTCACTGAAATGAACAAATGTTGGACGTTTTTAGGACGTAAAATTCGTTTCTCTGAACGGAGACAAACAATTATCGGGAACCACAACAGCTAACCATTCAGTGATCAATTAGGGAACGTTTAACAGGCGCAGAGTTGAGATCAAACATCTTCCGGATGCAAGGGAGTTAACTGACTATAAACGTCAAGTGAGTGAGTGAGTATGGTTTTACGCCGTTTTTGGCAATATTCCAGCAATATTGCGGCGGGGAACACCAGAAATCGGCTTCACACATTGTACCCATGTCCGGAATCGAACCCGGGTCTTCGGCGTGACGAGCGAACGCTTTAACCACTAGGCTACCCGACCGCCCCCTATAAACGTCAAGTGGAAACGGGGCCTTTTCAGTCAGTTTACTCCCTTGCCTCCGTAAGATCAGATCAAACTGTGTTACGGTCTATTCATGCACTACGGTAATCAACGAATTTAATTTTTCAGTCATCAGTTGTCATCAGGTGTACTGACCTTATATCTAAACTTAACGCTTGAATCCCATGGGATTCCTTTTTAGGGCATTGACACACTCCTAAACGTCTTTTCTTACCTCTGACACTTGAGGAAACGTTAATATGGAAGTCCTCCGGTAGAGAGGACATTTTGAAAACAACCCATAGATAATTCTGACGAGACACAATTTCTTCCTTGAACGTGCCATTACAAAACCGGTATGACGTCATTGACACCTCGTTGATTCTTCTGCCATCGTTGCCAATATGAACATAGTTCTGGAAACAGTTTGCGGCCTTGTGATCACGTGACACGTAACGAATATTCAAGGAAATGTGAGTTCCAGGATCAGAGTTCAATTCCAGGACACAGAACGTGCTTTTTGATGACGTCACTTCCTGCACATTAATCCGCGCTGTTTCATTTCCAATGTAGTAATTTCGTCTTAGACATGGTGTGATTTCTGCAAATGAATAAAGAAAAGATGATTATCCTAGCGTCTTAGAGCTAAGGATACAACTACCAAGCTTTTTCCAGTGGATTTTTCCACTACCTCAAAGGGTCTTCTACGCCGTGGGGATTCGATGATTGCAACTGCCATACTTTAACGTAGGCTTACAATAGTCTTATCGGTAAGATCGCTTTGTGCAAGTGGGTCCAGGCTAGAATAACTCCTCAGCAACCTATATGCTTGTCGCAAGAGGCGACTTAATTGTTCGAGTGGTCATTCGGGAGTTGGTTGGGTTTAACGCCGCTTTTAACAGTATTCAAGTTATAATCACGGCGTGTCAGCTTGATGTAGCAGGAAAGCCCGAAGTGATGCAGGTGCTAGATGTTTCCCACTTGAAAACCTACGAGCACGGGTACTGACAAACCTTGAAACATAATTGGGGAGAGCCGGGAATAGAACCCACGATCAAAGATTTCTGGCATGTTCGGGCGATGACCAGGTTGCTCCTGACATAATCACTGATGTACTGGTCTGGATTATTTACAGACCACAGTCGCATAATTGGAATATTTAGATGGAGTACAGCGTTAAGAAACAAACAAACATTAAAATTGGCCTTGTTTTGTACACTAAATAATAGAACTTGTGACTGTCATGCCACTCTTTGTGGAGACGTTTTGAAAACCACTAATCGATTGCTAGGCATTATCGTTAACTGTAGGATGTAAAGCAAATACCAACATTTCAGTTAATGACTATTTTTTTTCACATGAAACATTTTCACTTAACACTGCGGGAGGCATCAGTCAGCCGTTGTCCATAGTTTGGCCAGTAGTAAAGGGTATCTTGCAAATTCTATACTTACCCGTGTCCTCAGTCGGAGTCTTGCCCTCGTTCATTGTTATTAGTACAATCATGCAGATGACGTCTAAAATGAAAGACACAAGTGAGTGAGTGGGTAGGTGAGAGTGGATTAACGACCCTTTCGGCAGTTTACTGGTTATATCACGACGTGAAATACAAAATTACACGGACATATGCTGTTGAAATACGAACAAACAATTCGCAACCAGGAACACAGGAACTCGTTATTGGTCTGTAAATAAAAATATATACCCTCTTATGTGTAAGTCTCTACTTACATATATGGGATATATATTTTGATTTACTGATCAATAAAGAGTTATTGTGGATCGGAATTTTCAATCGGCAAATCCTGGCAGGCCAAAGGGACGCAATTCTGCACATCTTTGGACCACCAATGCCCCAATCTCAGTGAATGGGTCATGTCTGCATCTACATCCACCTGAGCAGACAAAACTGATATTTGAGCTAAACGAAATTAATATAGAATAGTAAAATAGTGCGTAAGATGCGATTGTTTGTTGTTTAACGCCGCACTCGGCCTGTAAATAATGGAATCTGTCCCATACAATCCAGGGATGAATATTGAGATCTTTTGTGTAAGCAACGACCGACGCGGTCGGGGTAACATATTACGCAATCACCCAATTAACGAACCTGACATCCCCGACCATTCGTCGCCTCTTACGACAAGTATTGGTTTCTGGGGACCAGTTCTAACCACGAATCCCAGATTGGGCAGGCGAAAGAAGTAGCATAATAATACTTACTATATAAATTGAGTGCCATGCTTATGCTATACCCTTGTGAAGCCGTCATGATGTGAAAAGTACACGGGATATCAGTGGTGCGATCTGAACTTTGATGTTGTCAAATGACATCTACAGACGTAAGTGCGAGATACACTATCTACTAACAATACTCTCTAAAGTACGCACACCAGTGATAAAACCAAGACGGTACAGTAAGATCCAATGCGAAACTTGTCCAAGGTCAGTCGTTATCTGTTCCCTATAGTTGGTTGGTTGGTTTGTTGTTTAACGCCGCACTCAGCAATACTCCAGCTATTATGGCGTCGGTCTGTAAATAATCGAGTCTGGACAAGACAATCCAGTGATTAATATCATGAGCATCGATCCACGCAAGTGGGATCGATGACATGCATCAACCACGTCAGCGAGCCTGACCACCCGATCCCGTCAGTCGCCTCTTACAAGCATAGTCGCCTTTTACGGCAAGCATGGGTTGCTGAAGACCTAATCTACCCCGGATATTATGTCTGAGAATGGCATTGATATACAGTATGTTGTCTTGCGAGTGAATGTTGTCTTGCGACGCAGGCAACATTTCAGTGTCGTCTGTTTTGAATTAATCGTGGGCCACGTAGACAACTATCAGCGTCAGGTCTCAGTTGACAGACATGGATAAACCAGGGCTCACATTGTGAACACCCGAACCAAGGGCGGATACTGCATTTTGTTTTGTTTTTTAAAAAAAGGGAAGGGGGGGGGGGGGGGGTCCAAAATATATCAAAATCCTCTCTCTAGATAATTCTACTGCCTACAACATACCACATTTGTTTATCAAAAGTGTGTGTCTATGCGACCCTCCTTACTCAACGTGTGTGTGTGTTCGTGTGTGTACATGTGTGCGCGTGCGTGCGTACGTCCGTATGCGTGTGCTTGCTTGCTTGCATGTGCTTGTAGTAGTCCCGACTAAGACGATGTCCCTTGAAATACCAGGCCACAGTTTTGACATGAATACCCCTATCACCATTATACTGACTCCAGCTCACCAGCCCATGTTCTACCCCGTCAATGAGCCCAGGCAGAGTAACAAGTACATTCTGTTGACATCTTTCAGTATGACGATGGTGGGGATGGAACCCAACCATCTGCTTTCAGTCAGACAGATCCACTCTCTAGGAACTCCTCCTCTGCCTGAGGGGACACTGGCCAGCTGCCTGTAAAGTGTGATCTACACTTGGATCTCCAGGAAGGGCTGAACTCATCACTAGATCCCCAAATGATTACACCACTCCATCCCTGCCATTTTGAAACAGGCTAAACATTTATATTTGAAAACGCTATAGTTGTTCAGGCTCAATACAGTCTATAAGTGTAAACCATTATCTGTTGACAGAAACAGCAAACAGCCAAACACTAATTGCTTGCCAATTACTTTCATTTATACAACACTTGCATGATAACCCATGAAAATCACAGTTAGAATAGGTCTTCAGCAACCCATGCTTGCCATAAAAGGCGACTGCGTGTCGTAAGAGGGGACTAACAGGATGGGATCGGTGGTCAGGCTCGCTGACTTGGTTGATGCATGTCATCACATCCTAATTGTGTGTATCAATGCTCATGATGTCAATCACTGGATAGTCTGGTCCAGACTTGATTATTTACATACCACTATCATATGGCTGGAATAGTGCTGAGTGCCGCATTAAACAACAAAGAAACGCATGATAACTTGTCATCCCCGTTTATACCCTTTTCCAAAATCCTGAAATGTACTCCAATGTAATGGAAAGTGTGACAAATTGTTTAACATCAATAAAGTATTTCAACTATTGCAACTCAAAAATAGACTTATGACATGGTGGTCTGTGCCTCATTTCAAAAGGTGGTCCAGTGGCTGATGTTCTTGTTCTGCATACTCACAGTCTGGGTTTGTTTCTCAAGTATGCATGTATGACATAAACCTGATATTGAGTAATTACAGATATGAACTCAAAACAGTTTGTACATCATACATTGCTTATACAAAGCATTCACTCATTCACAGTAATAACAGAAAAAAAATTACTTTTTAAATATTTATTGTAAAACCATAAGAATAATAACTGTATCAACTTCATATTCAACAATAAAATATTCTATCAATATTTGACATGGCCTCAGTCTTCTTCTATCAACAAACAAAAACTGGCAAGATAAATAGAAGAACACTCTCACAATCTCCTGCTTCGGACAATCCACCATGTAACTTGTCTGAACAGAGCATTTTACAAGCACCTGCTCGCTAACACCCACACTTATCAGTGTCCAAAATTAAGGGGGCTCTGGGTGTGCGTGAGGTCTAATCCTATAGTATTTGAATCTAGAGACTTCCTCGACAGCACCAACCATCAATCAAATTAACATGAGATCTTAGTTCTCACTACCGTTTGGTGGAAGTGAGAACTAAGATAGAATGTTAATGAGTGAGTGTGTATGGCTTTACGCCGCTTTTAGCAATATTCAGCAATATCATGGCAGGGGACACTAGAAACGGGCTTCACACATTATACCCATGTCTGGAATCGAACCCGGGTCTTCTGCATGACAAGAGAACGCTTTAACAACTAGGCTACCTGACCGCCCCTCTAACAAGTGAGTAATTAATTGAGGTGTGTTCTAACACTACAAACTACACAAGCAAACCTAGGCTTAGATGGGATCATGCCAAAATGGTCTGCCAACTCAAACTGGGTGATTTCTTTCATTTTAGCTATAAAGGCAAGGCCACAAATAAATAATTATTTGTTTATTGGTATCTCATCTTTATTCTGAAAATTAAAAACCATAAAGTAGATAAGGATTTTCTGATCATTTACATATATTTTATACAGGCAAGTACCTATATTGAAAAAAGGATTCACATAAAATCATGTGAATATATGTAGAGCCATAATAAAATCTCCCCACAAGCTCATCTTAAGGCAAAGCCTGACAATTTAAATCAGGAATATCTCTTCTATGGTACTTTATCTCATATAAGATCTTAACAAATGTGAACAGAAATTCTACCATGAATTTGGAAATTACTCGATTCTGATTGGTCAATCAGAGGCTATTAAATCACAATAAACCCCCTCTCATTGAAACAGCTGGTTTGACGGCGGCATCACCTTGGAAGCTAATATTCAAAGAATAGTACTTTTTTAGTCATTGTTGGTAGGCATATTTAAATAATTATATCTACAATTACAGGTCACAAAATACACAGATGGGGTTACTACAATATTCAAAGGATGTGTGGCAATACATTTCGTGCAGAAAACTGACATCTTCTACAAAATGAATGTATTTACGTTTTGGAGACAACAGAGAGCTTGGAATTTTGGCGCTTTTCTATATACGACTGTGACGTCATATCTTTTACATCACGAGCGATATGACGTCATAATGGCGACGCGCGATGTAGAGTGAAAGCCTTGCAAACCTTGCTTTATTATCTTAAGGGATGCCCACCTCATGTTAGCTTACCAAGTTGCCCTGCTTATAAGCTTTCAATGCCTGTCATATGTTCGAGCGAAGTATATCAGTGTAAACAAACTGCTTGAGTATATACAGCGCCATATTTGGTTCAATGATTCCGTAATTCAGATCGATAACCCATTCAAAACATTGGACTCAACCCACTCAGTATATTTGCTAACACCAAAGAGTTTGCGTTTTAGGTAGTCATGGTAGAAAGGAGATAAACATACTGTGTTTTTAATGTAGAGCTAGGTTACCTGTAGATTTAACCTCGCTAAATTTAACATTTGAAACCACACGCGCATCTCCTAAATATCAGACCTTAAATTCAATAAATGTAAAATAATATCCTGCACTTTAGCAAAAAAATATAATTCCACACAAATCATTTATTTTTGTGTGGCCTTACCTTTCATATAGTGACTGACACTAATACCTGTCCCCGAACTAGAAATACAGACCAGTTGCTAAATGATATAAACAGCATGTGTATATGTAGTGATAATGGATAATGTCTTGAAATCAGCATTTGTGAAAAACCATAGGATAAGAAACCTGATTGGTGAAACATCACACTTTGACTTCTCATTATACTTTAAACCGAGAGTATCTTAACAACACAAAAATACAATTCAAAAGCTTCAATTCATAGTGAGTGAGTGAGTATGGTTTTACGCCGCTTTTAGCAATATTCCAGCAATATCACGACGAGGGACACCAGAAATGGGTTTCACACAATGTACCCATGTCGGAAATCGAACCCAGTTCTTCAGCGTGATGAGCTTACGCTTTAACCACTAGGCTACCCGACCGCCCCCTTCAAATCATATTTGATACAGAGATACCTGGCTTCAAACAATCTGACTTATTTCCCGCAAAGTCCCAATTTCAGACTTATAACTGTTTATGTAATAATTGCAGTTTCAGATATAATGTCTGATAATTGAACATAGACATGTATACTGAAATGTTTTGAAATAATGTTTTTATTACATTATGAACTAACGAGAGAAAAATAAGATGTTTTTGTAGTCCACACATGTCGATTTTTACGGAAGTAAGCTGATGTCAAGCTGCTTTCTTCACAACGTTTCAGCACAAATGTATCCTGGCACCCATAAGGACCCTTACCTCATGGTCGGTCACATATATACTACTCAAAAGAAGTTAAAGAACACCTGATTCTTTCATATTACTACAGTTTATCTGTCTTGGCATGTGAGATTAACCGTAGTAATATGAAAGAATTGGGTGTTCTTTAACTTTTTTTTAGTAGTATATATTGTCCAGAGGAGCAGAAGTGCCTCCAGCTGGAGGGAATGTAAACAGCACACAACACAAGCACACATACATCAAAACTGTAATACTCAATTAATGACCTCAGATCATTATCAACCAAATCTCATTAAAATCAGATCATAGTTATTGCTACTGCTAAACTGGAGAGAACCAACATTTGATTTTCATTACAATCAGAATCACATCAAACATGATTTTCATTACCAAGCCTCTTTAAATGTTTTGTTTTAGACTAAGAAACATAAACGTAAGGCACACTAAAAGATGATTTCACAAATCAGACATGTGACTGGTATCTGGAGGTAGTAGGGTAAGGTTTTGGCAGCATGGCTACAGGCAGTATATCTAGACGTTCATCACAGTGTAGTGGGAACATCAAATTTGAGTAGAGGGTATGCTGCCTGTTAAGTGAAAGAACAATATTGCTTCATATGTGGAGAGAATGAACTGGGTCCAATGCAATCTCATTAAAATCTGATCTTAGTTCTCGATATCGCTAAACAAAGATATGAGGACATCCCATTAAAGGTCATGTCAGAACGACCTTTCATCCAACCAATCGGAGCATCGCTTACCAGATCATGAAAGTGACAGTCGGCATGTGTTTTCTAATCATGCAACCACGAAATATTTAACACGGGGTATTCCGAACGGCAGTAACGGGTTTTCTGATAATATCCATACAATCTAGGCCATCTATATGCCACTCCAGATGTTCTTCTTATCAATTTAAAAAAAATTAATTGAGAATACGTCAAAATGTGTTTCGAAGCGTAGTCGCCAGTTTGAAACTAGTGTCGTAAAGCTCCAGAAAGCTGCCTTCTGATTGGCTAATGTCGATTTCTTGGCAGTCATTTCATTCGTCGGTCAAAATTCGCGAAAGGTCGTTCTGATGTGACCCGTAATGGGATGTCCTCAGATCTTGGTTAAGTGGTAGCAAAAACTAAGATCTGATTTTAATGAGATTGGGTCCGATGTCCACATTAACAATTCTTTTTCAAGATCATGAGTGAGTGAGTGAGGTTAGTTTAATGCCACTTTGAACAGTGTTTCTGTAAAATAGACATCGTTCAAGGCTTGTCACAAGGAGGTCTGTGTGTGATCAATTCTGATGCTCCTCATATACAAAAATAGAATAATAATAAAAAATTTTGATCTGGCTTAATTCGGATAAAACCGTGTTCGATCTGGCCTAATTCGGATAAAACCGTGTCTGATCTGGCCTAATTCGGATAAAACCGTGTCCGATCAAGGCTGGTTGTGAGATGAGGTAGTCAAGTCAGAGTGGCTGGTCATTTCTGGTCAAAACTGGTATGGCCCAGTTATGGTGAGATTGACCTGGATAGGGACAACAGGGTTGCAATGTGGCCAAGCCAGAGTCTCCTGGTGATGAATTCTGATGACCACCTCCTCATCCACAAAATATGAAATATATTGGTCTGGAATGGATACGATGACACAGAGATAATGCAGGCAGGTCACAAGGAGGTGATGTGGTCAAGCCAGAGTCTGTGGCTGGTCTGTCCTGATGACCTCCTCCTCCTCGTTGAGGTGGTTGTAGAGGGGGAACTCACAGCAGCACAGACACTTGAGGAAGGAGGGGAACACGCCATACACGGGCGGGGGGAAGGGTATCAAGGGACTCGTTCGCTTCTTGTAGGTGACGTAGTCTTCATTCCTGAAACAGTGAGTGAGTGAGTATGGTTTTACGCCGCTTTTAACAATATTCCAGCAATATCACGGCAGGGGACACCAGAAATGGGCTTCACTCATTGTACCCATGTGGGGAATTGAACCTGGGTATTCAGCTTTACAAGCAAACGCTTTGACCACTAAGCTACCCCACCACCCCAAATCCTGAAACAGTATTTCATAGAATCATACCTAATACATTCAACATAATAAGCACCCAGGACGCTCTCAAAATTAGAAATAGGGAGCTCTTTTTAGAGTATTCTTTTGGTGAGTTGAAAGATAAATTTCATGGTTTATGCTGACAGCCTGAAATGTTGATTTACGACAGATATATTTTTCCAAAATTTAACTGCCCATACGTTGTAATTAATGGTGCATGTAACCCACGAGTGCGTATTATACGCGAATAAATAAGTCTTTTGTATCAATTGGGGTGCTAATTGGGATTGTTCACTAGCCAATATATTAGCAAATATCGCTGTGGGCGCTTATTATGTCGAATACGGTACATAAAATTCGTAAAGTTTGAAAAGGCCTAAAACCAAAAGCGATGTTTTCCCATTACCAAAATGACCCTAATCAAAGGTGACGTCCCTGAGCCTTTCTAGTGGTGTTATTTAAATATTCATGATGAAACAAAGTGCAAAAATGAAAATATTAAACACAACACAGCTTAGCTAACAGTGATTTTCCAACAGTTCTACACCCAACCACACTCCCCATCCCCAATCTGTCATCATGGTCAGTTGGGAGCATCTACTAAAGGGGACAGTATAAAAGTGTGAGTTTTACTCTTACTCACAGGCAGTGTAGGAAACAATTTTCAACAGCAGTAGCGAGACGGCCTCACTAGATAATGTTTTACAAGCCAATTTCACATTCAAATAGCCATGTATTTTCTCTCCTACCATCTACAAATTTGTCTTCAAGTAGCTGTATGTATTTTCTCCTACCATCAACAAAGAGAAATCTGGTAGCATTGAAAAAAAAGAATTCAAAGTTTAAACTAGGTGAACTTTAATCTGAATCAATATCAAACAGGTTCCTGTCACACAGAACAAGTGACAAGTAAGACAAAAGTGACATCCCAGATATGTCAGAAAAATTGAAAATCTATTACCGGTATGCAAATTAACATTATCATGTTCAATATTGACTTCTCTCTGACATCCCCATTGTTTAAACCTGGGACTACAATAATGGCTGTGAGTCCCCTGGACTCTCCCAAATAATTAGGCCTGGTAAATCTCTGCACATTTTACCCATATGGAGAATCAAACCCAGGTCTTCGCTGTGAAGAGCCAGTGCTTTAACCACCAGGCTACCCTGTCACCCACTGTTGATCAAGACATGGAAGAAAACTACAGCTGAGTATCGCATGGAATCTTGCGATACGATTCCTATCATGATATGGACTGACGATACTACTGGTATCACGATACACCACATCAAACAGTAAGAAATTATGAAACCACCGAAATACAGCTATAAAACCTCTTTCTTCATGCAATTATTCATTGTTATCTCATATTTTTTATCAAAGAATACCACAAGAACAAAACAGTTTTAAATGAAAGGATGGTTATTAAATGTAACATTAAGTCTACAGGTGGCTTACAGGTGGCGTTAAGCTACTTCTGCTATTAAGGGAGGTAACTCTATTAGTTTCTTTTCTAGAGAGTGAGTTGGGTTTAACGCTGCTTTTAACAGTATTCCAGTCATATCACGGCGTGTCAGCTTAATGTGGGAGGAAAGCCCGAAGTGATGCAGGTCTCAGACATTTACCACTTCGATGAAACCCACTAGCACGGGTATGGTGCTGACAAACCTAGAAACATAATTGGGGCGAACCGGGATTCGAACCCACAATCATAGGTTTCTGGCATGCCCAAGGGACGCAACTCCGCACAGCGTATCACGGCACCTTAGACGACTGGGCCACCCGTTCCCCAATTTTCTTTTCTAATATAGCATATCGCAATCTCACAAACAGATGATTCAAGTATCGTGTGTTACTAAGTATCGATGATCTAGAATAAGTGAATCGTTACAGCCCTAAAGAACACACTGCCTCTACACAGGGAGAGTTAATGAGTATGTGAACCGCTCATTCCAAGTAGTCCTGTACACCTTACTTTCTGTATCTCTCGTCGGACTTCTGTTCCAGGAGGGGAATACCGCTGAGGAAGAGCAGGATGGCCATAGTGAACACAGGGCTAAGGACAGCCACCCACTGAGCATCAACCAGGATACTGGTGCTCATTATGAACACGCCGATCCATAGCGTGATCTCACCAAAATAGTTCGGGTGTCGGGAGACTTTCCATAATCCTGAAAGAAAATCAAGTTATTGAATACTGTAAATCGTGAAATTAATGCGTCTCCAAAAGAATGTGACCACTGGACCCTAGCCAAAAATGCGACTCAATATGAATGCGCCACCCCCTCCTCTCAAGCATCAGTGGATTTCTATCTAAAGAAAATGTCCTCAGTCAGGTTTAGAATCCTCACCTTAATCCAACCTTACATTAATCCAATCACACACCAAATAGCACCGCTTATTAGCGCTGAGTAAAGTACTTCCGCAAAAACAATACATGCGCGCTGGCTCGTGTGGGCCTTTGACACAGTCGCAAAGCATAGATGTGGCGTCTGTCTGGACTTGCAGGTGTGATCAGTGATGACATAAGTGAGTAGAACTCTTGTCTTGACCCCAGCAGTGACAATTCACAGGATGTAATTAGTGTTTGCATGACATTGTTTATATACTTTATATACAAGTGCTGCTCAATAAACAGTGGTGTGGAATACATCAGCGTATGTCTAAGTTGGTATTTCTGCTATCCAAAATGTCTTATTGTTGATATAAATGCGATGTTTAAAAATGCGAGCAAAGGCCACTTGCATTTTTCGCATTTAATTCACGCTCGCGTTAATTTCAAGATTTACAGTATATAATCAAGGTATCATGCTACACATATATCATAGTCTTTCACTGGTCAAATTAAAAAAAGTACAATGCTTATCCCAATTTCATTAAAGACAAAGATGAACAAGGAGTTGCCTCCCTTTATACATCTACCTTACAGAGGATATCTATCTTTTCTTGTCATATAACATTTTAATCTCACTGAGTAACCTGACAGAGTTAAGTTTATTGCATGAATTGGGCAGTTATTGGTGAAAATGTCTTCTTTTATCATGTAAAGAGGTGAGAAAAGATTGTATTTGACAAAAAGACAAATAATCTATCAACACACATGTTCTATCATTGAGGCAGGCTGAAAGACAATCTCATTACAATCACTTCTGCTACTATTTAGCAGTAGGCACTAGCCAATCAGAAAGCAGCTTTCTCAAGCCTTATGGCACCCTTTCAAAATGGAGACCTCCATTTCAGATTATGCTTGAAAAATATGTTGGCAAAGTTCTCAATTAAAATTTTGAAAACTGAAAAAAAAGAAAATTATGGAATGTCTAATATATGGTCAAGATTGTATGGCAGTACCTCCCACATACATTGTACTATGCAATGTGTCTGCCATTAAAATGTTCATCCCATTAAAGCGAGAGATAGATGATGATTTTGACGGATTCAGTCGTAAAGCCTGTCACTGTCGTTCGGAATACCTTTTGAGGTTGCATGATTAGAAAACACATTTTGACTGTCACTTTCCTGATCTGGTATAGGACGCTCCGATTGGTCGGATGAAAGGTCGTTTTAATGTTACACTAATGGGATGTCCTCAGAATTTTGTTTAACAATAGCGAGAACTAAGACCTGATTTCAAAGATATTTTACTGAAAGAGGATCTGGCATATTTAAGACAATTCACACCTAGTTTGACCTGGCATACTGTGCATATCTGTCTCCTGATAGCATGTGGCACTTTCAGGAATACTTCTAGGGTGGGGCCTAGTGCTTTTAGTCCCTAAATTTGAAAAAAGGACCACATTTTCAAATACAATGGGGCATTTTTACATTGTGCTGTATGGGCGTACCTCGGGAATATTTGAAATGTTCACATAAAGGGCCTATGCCATAAAATTCCGAGAATGAACCCTGCACTTTCAACCACTGTCTCAGATCAATTAAAAGTGTTGTTGATGTTTATTCACATGAAATTCATAATTAATCATGTTAATTTACTTTGTTGTTTTACGCCGCACTCAGCAATATCACAGCTATATGACGGCAGTCTGTAAATAATCCAGTCTGGAACAGACAATCCAGTGACTGATTGCATGAGCATCGATCCACGCAATTGGGATACGATGACATGCATCAACCAAGTCAGCGGGCCTGACCACCGATCCCGTTAGTGGCCTCTTACCACAAGCATAGTCGCCTTTTAGGGCAAGCATGGGTTGCTGAAGACCTATTCTTCCCCGGATCTTTACGGGTCGATTAATTTACTGGGGACACTTTTCAATACAGGTAACTACATAGAAAAGTAGATTGTTTATCCACAGATTTTAGTTGCAGGTTCCCGGGACACCTCCTTTCAGTATTTGCGGAGAAGTGCAGTGTTTAACATTTATTAGTGCCGAAATACCATGCTTTTTTTAACGCTACAGTCGATACTTTACTGGACATAAATAACACTTTTTCAGTGGGGTCATTCAACAATCATGTGTCATGGGGTCTACAGTATCCCAGAGTTGCCATAGTCCAGTGTTCTTAATACGCAAATGATAATCTACATAAGTATATCAACAATAAGTATTGATTGAGGTGTAACGTTTCGGTGGGATGCGATATGATACTATGGGTGTGAAGCAATTTGTACCCCGATACTGTACTTTTATTTCAGATGATATTCTTTCTTTTTGAAGGTGAATCACAACTCTGAATCATTTGTTTTTATATTTCAGAGATCAAAGATCGAAGATATTTTAGGACAGAAACATATTGGTGGAGGGCTCTGTGAATGTTATGCGATTAATGTCCAACCATGAAATATTAGAGAATTTGCATAAGCTGGTGGTTTGAACATTTTGTTATAGTGAGTGAGTTTTAACATTTTTCCAGTTATATCACGGCAATGTCTGCTTAATGTGGGAGGAAAGCCAGAAGTGATGCAGGTCTCGGATGTTTACCACTTCGGTGAAACCCACAAGCATGGGTATGGTGCTGACAAACCTAGAAACAAAATTGGGGTGAATTGGGACTCGAACCCACAATCATAGGTTTCTGGCGTGCCCAAGGGACGCAACTCTGCACACAGAATCGTGGCACCTTAGACGACTGGGCCACCTGTGCCCCTCTGTTTCTTATAGGTTACGTCTTTTTATACCAATTTAACCTCTAATGTAATGTATTGTATGTATTACGATACAAGGTCATAAATAGAGGATATTATATGTGTGTTCATGTCATACTACGTTTACGACAAGAGTGTCTAAATACCGGAATTTAGGCACAAGAGTTGTAAACATAGAATGACATGAACATGAATATAATGTTCTATTTATTACTAAAGAAGATGTCTACATACAGAGACGAATTTTAGTGTTTGCCTATAAGGACAGCAAGTCGCAACAGCCACGGAACCACAATTTGTCGATTGACGTCAACAATCTTCAGCTACCGGTATGACGTCATTTCTAGTGTGACTTCATTCCAACCTCAGAGCTCCAGATAAGCTGCGTATCTGCGTAAAATATGCATCAGAAATGCAGAAATACGCAGTAAAATGAAATCCAAGGGTATCAAATACGCAACGAACATTACAGATACGCTACAAAAATATAACTTGTGTGTATCATCAAAATATTGTGAAGTAAACCTGCGTATTCGATTAGCAAATCAGCAACTTATTTTGAAATTATAAATGGGCATTCTGTCAACCTTGCAAAACTCAACGATGACAGTTACATCATGATCATTTGCCATCACACTTTCTTGTGGAAGTATCATGGTATTTTTTAGTCCTATAAAGCTCTCGGACCCACACGACAGGGACTAGATGAATAGTGTTTTTAAATATTTAACTTAAATACCCACATGTGTAAAAACTAGTGGGTAACAGAAATTTGAATACCCAGATAGAATTACTGATACCCAATGATTTTAAAATACATGGGTAAAATACCCACAACACCAAAAGCTTATCTGGAGCTCTGAACCTCACATCACAATAAGATTGGAATGATGTCAACAATGCCGTCCAGATGACGGAAACAATACACTGTTGTCTCGTGACGTGATATGACCCTAGGGCACATATGATTCTCATGAACCCCCATATGTTTGCCCTCGTAGATGATAAATCCATGTTTAGTACAGTGGGTCTCATATGGGAATACAATACTGCATCGCTGTATCGTTAACCACTATTCATAACTTGATAGAATACCATGTAGCAATAATAGTGTGCTAAATTAAGCCCACACTTTTGTATTACTTGCTTTATAGATTTGTAACAGGGAAATATCTGTCGGTAGGTGGAAAAATAATTCAATTTCTTCTTTAGTTTTCTGCTCCACTACAGGCCAGCTGGTACAAAAATTTAAATATGGCTTAATTTTGGAGGAGAGCCCAGGCCTGCACCACAGCTGTTGCTTTCAGCAATGCAAACCTGACGAATCAAGCGGGAACACTGTTCATGCTGTTGTTCATCTATCAACCATCAATTTCAGGAAGAACAATAAACATTATTTATATTTTTGGCGCAGAATGCTATCAGCATATTGGCACGATAAAAAAAGAGAGAGCAAAATCTAAACTTGTTTTTCCAATTCAACAAAATTTACAGTTGAGAGACCAAGTAAATAAAATCAAAAGTGTTGCTTAACAACAATAACAACAGAAAACAACGTAACAACACATACCCTTATCACACCATTTTCCTTTGTTGATTGGATTATTCCTGAAACCAAATTTTTGGAAATCTGCAAAAGTTTCTGAAAAAAGCCCTATTGCAAAGAACACAATGCCGACAATGTCTTGTGGTGTGATGGAGATGCTCTTGAGTGCGCTGGCTGGTGCATTGATGAATATCACAGGCAGACTCACAGTGAACACCCACACGGCCTGCAACAGTAGAAAGATGCATTAGGTTCTGTGGCTCACCTGATCCCCTAATGGGAGCGTGAGTGAGTTTGGTTTTACGCCGCTTTCAGCAAATTTTCAGAAATATCACAGCAGGTGACGTCTGAAATGGGCTTCACACATTGTACCCATGTGTTGGAACCATAAGATCAATTTGTAAAATTTAGCACTGGATATCTCAAAACCTACCTCATTTTTAAAATGGATACGAAAAACTTCAAATAACATGACAGCCAGCATCAGGAAAATATAAAAATAAAGACAGGAATTATGTATTTCTGAATCCTTTTACACAGGCAACACTTACAAAAATGAAAAAGTAATATAAAAATGGATTTTTCAGATTAAAAACGATGTTTTATTGGTCTGTTTTCAGTCGTACAAATGGGTATCTCATACCTCTAGTCGCACGTTAAAAGGAAGCCAGAAGCTGGAATGTAAACAAACTTGTTTCCGTCCGGTTGCTCACGCACCTCCCAATGACATGTCACAAATCTCGAAGAATAAGCCATTAAGCAGGACTGGACTAGATTACTTCCCAGTGGGGATGGCTGGGTGGGAACGTACGACTGAAAACAGACCAATAAAACATCGTTTTTAATCTGAAAAACCCATGTTTTAGTCTGTTTTCAGTCATACAAATGGGTAGAATTCGACGGAACACTGGAAGGAGGGTCGGGGAAGTAATCAGGAAGTGACCTCTTTCACGTCGAATGTACCAAGTTCCTCACCCCTGTAGTGACAATAGAACATTCGACCAGATGCACGGACGAGACAAATTGTTTATCCCGAACGCACAGCATGGTTAATGCTCATCGACACACAACTAACTATCGATGCGACAGGACAACTGCACGCGTCAGTTGAACTGCGATCGAAGTGGTCGACATATAGTTTAGTTACAGAGCAACACGCAGTATACAAGGTAACTAAATCAGCATGTGTAATGCTCTTCGACCCACAAGTAAGTATCGATGCGACAGGACAACTGCACACGTCAGTTGAATTGCGATCGAAGTGTGGTCGGCTTATAATGTAGTTACAGAACGACTCGTCGTATCCTAGGTAACGAAAAATAGCATGGTTAATGCTCTTTGACATCCACCAATTTATCGTTGAGACAAGACAACTGCACACGTCAGTTGCATTGCGATCGAAGTGTGGTCGGCGCATAATTTAGGTACAGAGCAACTCGCAGTATACAAGACAACTAAAAAATACGAGCAGTACTATAAAGTATGGGAAGACGATGCATACACCGAATAACCATAATAAAACAGCCGAAGTACTGCATGCAACAAAAAAACAGAAGAATGCGTACATTCACCAACAGTTTTTATTGTAACCTGCGAAGAGATCTACTTGAGGCAACCAGAGTCGATCTGTCAGCAGATGAAAAACTGTCGGGTGGATCATCAACTCCGTGGGAGACGGCCTCGATGGTCTCGACAGGGCGTCGACTATCACATTCTTGGCCCCCGGGATGAGACGGGCGCGTACGCCCATGTCTAAGGGTCCTCACTTCTGCCCCCGCTGGTTCTGTCCCCCCCTGGGATACTTGGAAACGGAGACCTGGCGACCTTTTCTGTCCGCATCACTCTCGCGGGACGGCTGTCGAGTCGTGTCCCTACGAAAGGCCTGTTGCACATTGTCGTTTCTATAACGGCATGGTGGGGCGTTCGAAACCGGTGGCCGTCTGGACATGTTGTGTGAAGCCGAAATGATGATGTCACGCTCGGCTTCCTTGGAGTACTTGTCCAGAACGTCGTTGGTACGACCGTCAAACAACTGTTGCGATGACCACGGGGCCCGTAAGAGTGTCCTTCCATGACGATCAGGTAGGTCAGTGCAGTCGATGTAACCATGACGACGTGCTGTAGTAATCTGGCCCGATACATATCGGGACTGGGCGAGGACGTCCGAGATCCGCCGTTGCATACAGGTGAGGATTGATGGCACCGTCCTTTCGTCCTCGTCGAGGGGGTCTTTCTCCTCAAAGTACACTGAGAGGGCCTCGATCGCTGTCGACAGCATAGCAAGTGGTTGTACTGGTGACGAACAGCAGTGTCCATAGATTCCAAATGCCTGTCTTCTACTAGAATCTTGGAGGGCGCTGGTGTCTTGAAGAGTAGCCCCCAATCCAAGTCCCTACTCATGGGTGACGAAAACGGCATGCCATAGATCGGGTAACTAGATCGACCAGGCGGCTTGTTAAAACTCTGTCCCGGTAGAGCAGAGGCAAAGCTATGGTCCATATCGTGGCTCTGAAGACATCAGGAGGTGAAAACTGAAGAGACTGTGGCGTATCTCCGACTTTAAAGCCACAGGCGAGGGCTACAATCTCTAACTGTAGAAGTTCTACGATCCCCATCATAGTTATCGTCCGAAACGAACTCACGACGTCCACGAAGGCGACAAACGTCCTTGTGTCGTTTACTGTCTCTCGACGACGCCCTTGACCTGTCGTCCCGTGAACGGGAACGACTTCTAGAGAGGGATCTGTGTTCACTGTCGACCCGCACGACGTTCCTATCGTCGTTGGTAGGACGAGAGACGGACCGACTGGGGACCGTAGTCCCCTCGTGGTCCTCGTCACCACCCGGTCCCGTCGTAACGGGGGTGGCTGAGTGACGCTCTCGATCAACCGATTGACGAAGATCAGTCGTGCGAGTAGTATCAACAGCAGGCGAACGGTCACGTGTCTTGTCGAAAACATAAGTTGACTGAGGCGGGTCTTTATCAACTGATTTCTTGGGTGTGGCCGACGCGCCACCCCCTGGGCCAGATGTAGAGGGTGCAGAGTCCAAGGATCCACCCGATGACCTTCTCTGCTTGTAGTGCTGGTCAGTAGCCCGCTTCGCCAACACACGAAGATACAAGTTAAAGTTTAGAGAAGACAAGTGCTCACATTCTTTACAACGTTTATCCCACGAACACATTGAAAACCCGTCCTTAATTATGCAGGAAGGACAATACTTGTGAGGATCTACTTTAGACAGTTTTCGTTGACACGAGGCACAAATGCCCGACATGTTGCCACATGTATAATCAAGTCAAACAGTAGTGTTGAACACAAACAATGGATTACCAAGGATTACATTCCAGGAGTCTACAGGGAAGACATATTATCATTACTTTATTAGAACAACAACTGTAGACACACGATAAGTACTAGTAGACAACAAACTAGCAGTCTATCGCGAAAGTCCTTCTCGAGCGACCAGCTCAGAGGCGGGCTGAGAGATTTTTGACATGTCATTGGGAGGTGCGTGCGCAACCGGACGGAAACAAGTATATTGTTTACATTCCAGCTTCTGGCTTCCTTTTAACGTGCGACTAGAGGTATGAGATACCCATTTGTACGACTGAAAACAGACTAAAACATAGTTTATCATGTTAAAAAAATTGTTTACAGAAAATGTGTTTTTTCACATTTTCAAATAAATGATGTAAAGATATACTGTATGATGTCATGGCCATTTTGTTTGTAACATGTTCAACAAAAGAATGCATCAGCATATACGCATTCTATAGTTTTGATGAAATAGTGCTTACCTGAAATACCCAGAACCCAGCAAATTTCAGACAGTTTTCTCTTTTGTCATCAAAGCGTTTATCTTCTCCGATCTTGATGATGCGATACAGCAAATATCCTGACAACCGAAGGCCCCAAACAACGACAAACACTGTGATGATAATTTGCCGAGTGCTGTATGTCTGAAACAGTAAAAACAACATGGAAAGATGTCATCAAAAGTTTAAACACGATTCTAAAGTAGCAACTGCTACCATTACAAAATAAAAACCATAGTAACTAACACTAGCCAACAGTCCCGGGGCTAGCATAAATTCCTGGAGACTAATACAAAGTTCCCAATTGTTACAAGGTCATTTTATCTTTAAACCCGGCTAGTAAAGCTTTAGAGTTTAGATCAAACCCTGAAAATATTTAAACTATAGTTGATTCAGATAACCATGGTGATACAGATTAGTTGACAGGTAATTATCATCTGTTGTGACAGAAGACAACCACAACTAGTTGGAGGACAATATTTGTAGGTAGTGATACCTGTAACACAAGCAATTGTTTTTGCACATCGATCTTAGCGCTACAACTATTGTAAGCCTATGTTAAAGTATGGGAGTTTCGATCTTACTTTAGTGCTAGGATTAGCACTAAGATTGCTTTGTGCAGGTGGGCCCAGGACTGCTAGGTATTGGGATCAACACATCTTTTATTTGAGGATAACTGCAATACTGCAATTGGTGGTGGCAGTAATTGTTAAAATAGGTGTTAGGTAGGTACAGTACATGAAGTGAGTGAGTGAATATGGTTTTATGGAATATTCCAGCAATATCACGACAGAGGAAATATGCTTCACACATTGCACCAATGGGGGAATCGATCTCAGGTCTTCTGCGTGACAAGCTGACAAGTGAATGCTTAAACCACTAGGCTACCCCACCTCCCCTCATTGGATGATGGTGGACACTGGGCGTATTATGACGTCATATTTCTTGATTATCAGGAGCTAACTAGTCATGCATTAGTTGAACTTTTATTTAATCGTACAACTTAAAGATATTGACATAAAATAACAACATCTGACATCAATATTCTGTTGCTTGAAACATGTCATTACAAATACATAAATGAATGTAGAGGCTTGTTATGATATTGTTATTGTTACTATCAGTTGTGAAGGTAATACTATCAGTGCCACTTCCTGTTGCCACCTTGTATCTACCTACTAATATTGTAGTGCTCGTGTTTGGGCAATAAAGTGTTTGACTGCCTTCCCCATGAGGACCTTGTCACTGGTTAGCGTCTCACCCCGGCGGAACATTGCTGTTACCATTGTAACATTCTCTTATTTTGTAGGACCTAGAGTGTTTGACTGATAAAAATGTGTTGCATCGAATGTGACTCATTGACAGTAGGATTTGGATCATTTTGGAAGAAAACTGCTTCAAATAGGTAGGATTCCTCTGTCATGAGTGAAACCGAGGTCCAAAATGACCCCAGGACCTCCCTCAGTTAACACTGTGCTAAATTCCCTCCCCAGCCTAATCACGTCCAGCTCAATGCAGTGTCTGCCCTAATCTCCATGACCATGCAGTCGAAAAATCTTTATTCTTCAGATATAGCAAAACAGTTTATTTTCTGTCAACTTCAACATGTTCGACATTTCGTTCCACATACCTCAGCAAGAAAAAATGTCAGAACAGCCAACACCACAAAGTTTGTGCCACCAGCGAAGTCTGTCACTTTGTCAAATTTACATGTACATGCGATGAGGAAGAAGATGAACTGCATAGCAACAGTAACTATGGCACACATTGCCAGGTTGTTCTCATCCAAAATCCACATTCTCTAAGAACTTTGGTGAACCTTTTTTCTGGAAAAAAAACACAGGCCTTACAATAAAACATGACAAAATGTGAGCAGGGCTCATTAAGACCCCTGACTTTCACTCCGACATATTTCTAAGTTCAAAAACATGAAAAAAGCAACATTTCTCAGAAAAACTGCTCATCGAAATCAAACTTTGCACTGCACCTCTCCTATTGGTACAGAAACTGTATCTCCAATTGGAAAAGAATCCATGAAGTAGTCTTTAAGTGATAGGTCGCACAAATGTTGAAGTAAAAAATATTCTAATTCAAAACATGAAGAAAGATATTCTTTTAGAAAATACACATATCAAAATTCAACTTTGCACTGTACCTCTAAACTATTCCCTAAATTTGAAAAGAATCCAAGCAGTAGTTTTCAAGTTATAGGTCGGACAAATGTTTCAGTAAAAGAAATCGAAAAATGAAAAAAAAAGCTGTATTTCTCTCTTTAGAAATTCTTAATATTGAAATCAAACTTCATTTATAGGTATAAAAAGTGTTCACCAAGTGTGAAAAGAATCTACGCAGTAGTTTTCAAGTTACAGGTCACACAAAAAAATGCCCTACCCTCCGTTAATAAATAGTTTGTTTGTTTATTGTTTAATGCCACACTCAGCAATAGTCCAGCTACATTAGGGTGGTCAGTAAATAATCACGTCTGGACCAGACAATCTAGTGATTGATATCACAAGCATTTATATACGGAATTGGGATATACGATGACATGCAGTAAGTCTGACCGCCTGATCCTGTTAGTCGCCCCCTACAAACACAGTCCCCTCTTACAAGCATGGGTTGTTGAAGACCTATTCTAACCATTCATAAATAAATAATTAAAGAGGAGAGGGTGATAGTAACACTTTCATTATTTTAATCAGACTTTCAAAATCCTGTTCCAAAACCAACACATTTCCTTTTCACATAATATTAATCACTTCGAACAGTCAAAACAACTGAATTAAAGGTGAAATACACACCACAATCCCCACCCCTACCCCCAACTTTCAACTGACCATGAGCATTGTCTTAGCTGTAACATACTTACCAGTCACTAGTCTTTATTACTGGTATACTCCACTAATGTCATAAGACTGTTGTAATCCTCCTATATATGAAATCTCTTTATGCAACTGTTACATATGAAGACGCCTCAGTCACGTGAGAAACTTAGGTAAGCTCTCAGCGTCTACTAAAATCACCAAGTGGGTCAAGAGTGTGGGTACAGCTGTACTCTGATTTGGCTATACAGCCTTTTACAAATCAAGCCAGCCTAGAACTTTAGAACTTCTAGTCTGTGCAAATAATGTGTCTCAGAAGTATCTGTGAACTAGAAAATAACACAATTTCTGCACTTGTGACCACTGACCCTACCCTGACCTACACACACAGTGATACATATATAATATATAAGCACAAAGTTCAGTCACTTATTAAAATTGATAAATTATATTTATTAATAACATCCTAATAATGATATATATAGAGCGGTGTTGGTTGCAAATTTATAATCTTTTAATTAAACAAAAACAAAATAATATACAAATCGTAACGCTTGCAAAACCTGTCAATAAATATTATTGTTGATGTCAATATAATAGCATCAATGTGTGTTTGTTTGCATTTTTTGAAAAGTTAACACATATTGTCTTCAAACAAATGATGAGAAATATATCAATCGTCGGTGATTTAATGAAAGTACATCATGACATAAATTTAGCATTTATTCTACTAAGAATAATTCTGATTTTGCCTTGGGTACATTTCTGTAGATCTAGATCTATACAGAAACGTAATAAAAATTATCAACGCTTCAAATTGTGAACTTGCTTTCGTGATCATATAAACAATCATTTCGTAATGTGGCTAAAGAATTATTCCTATCTCTCTGGCAGTTACGGGGATGTCGAGGACTAAAGCGACAATCAACACTGACATCAGACATCACGTTTCCAGGCACGCGATTCGTCAATGTCGGTATCATCGATCAGTGCTCACTGAGGTAGGAACACACTGTGCGAATCGTACATCTTTTGGGCGTATTCATACAAAAAAGAACATTTCTTGGAAAGTAACCGATTTGGGTATAATGTCAAACTTTCACAAAAAATGAATTCATACCTCCGCAATGATTGAGAGAGTCTACGCTGTGACAGTTGTTGACATGCTTCAGTTATATAAATGGGCGGGGAATACTGTCATCCGGGTTTTCCTTCGGAACTCTAATCACCGTTCTTGAGCTACAGGGTCATATAAATGGAATCGCAAAAACCCTGTAAAGAAATGAATACATTATCTAAAAATAGAACGTATTTCTTATGCGCCTGACAGGAAATAGGGTAAGCACGTGTACACGACCGAGGTCACCACCGACATGTTTACAACGGGAAGTCTGTTCCGTCGAGAACAATTCACCTGCAAGTAACGCAGCTTACTGATTAGTAGCGTTAACTGCTTCGGGCTGCTGCTTCACAGATCTCGCGTGCACCTTCGATCCCGAGGGTTAGTTGTGGGTAAGATCGACTTCCGCCCGCCTCTCTCTCTCTCTCTCTCTCTCTCTCTCGCTCTCTCTCTCTCCACTTTTATAAGAAAATGAGATGTTTTACTGTTGTTCATCTGATTAGAGAGACAACTATGAATGTTTCTGAAGCGTCCAAAACCCCACAACACGGGGATACATAATTAAAAGGATTGAGTGACACTATCGACGCATACAACTTTTGAAAGGAAAGGGGGGGGGGGGGGGGGGTACGGGCGGAAGTATTTCCGTATTATTGTTTGTTTATTTTTTATATCATGATATAACATTTATTATTATATACTAAGTTTTCCTATAATAATTAGATCCACATCAAGTGCTTTTATGAGTTATCATGGTGTAATATTTATACATCATTTCATATAATTATAGTTTAGCAAGTAATACTAATCATCAGGTAAAATGCATATATAAAATATCAGTAGTTTCAGTTATAGAACAGCACCATAATATTTAACCCCGCACTCAGCAATATGCAGCTACATGACGGTGGTCTGTAAATAGTCAAGGCTGGACCACACAATACAGTAATTGACATTATGAGCATCGATCCACGCAATTAGGATACGATGACATGCATCAACCAATTATTAAGTCAGCGAGTCTGACCACCCGATCCTGTTAGTCACCTCATACAACAAGAATAGTTGCTTTTTACTGCAAGTATGGGTTGCTGAAGACATATTCTACCCCGTTCCCTGATCTTCACGGGTTCCCTTTTATAGTAGGGCTTTCTCTTATACCATAAGTATACTGTACACCATATGTGACCGTGTGTACAGCTACAAATTCAATCCTGTGGTTGCATGCAAAGGTACTACGAATCCCGTACTGATGTAGCATCATGGCTTGACCATCCACGATGTAAGATCTTGTTTTGACCATCATGTGGTATGGATCATATATTTACTGCACGAGATGTAAGGTCATGTCAAGACCGCAAGAGATGTAGCATCATGTCGTGACTGTCACATGACTTAGTGTCATTTGTGGTTATGAAATTTGAGTATTAAGACATATATCTATATCAAAACACAGTTTTGGGAGTCATATAGTCCCCCAAAATGTACAAGTCTGATCTTGGAATCTTTAATGATTCTTTCTAATTCCAGTTGTTAAGTCAGCGAGCCTGACCACCCGATCCTGTTAGTCGCCTCTTACTACAAGCATAGTTGCTTTTTACTGCAAGTATGGGTTGCTGAAGACATATTCTACCCCGTTCCCTGATCTTCACAGGTTCCCTTTTATAGTAGGGCTTTCTCTTATACCATAAGTATACTGTACACCAGGAAAGTTCAGACATTTATCCACTGATTAATTTCCACAAATATTTTGCCAGGATGCCTGACCTCGCAGCTCTAAGATCAGAGCTTCCCAAGACACCAGATGAGCTGCTGGTTACAATAACCAGTCCTGACATTCTGGGGAAAGACTATCATGACTCCCTGAAGAAGACATGTGATTGTTTGTATGGACAAGATGGTGGAAGTGTCAAGCACTCCTGTGAGGTGTTGTTGGACATGGCTTGGGAGAAGCTGAACACAGGGTACTGGAAGGACGTGGACATCAGCTGGAGATACACCTATACAGTCATCTCAGTGATGAAGGTGTACTGTCAGTGTTTGCTGCTGAATCAACAAAAAGGAGAGGTTTCATTGGCTGATATCATGAGGTCATGTGACATGGGTCTGTTGATGGGAGCCCCCATCTTGGACAACATCCTGGCACGGATGTCTTCATTAATTCAAACCATCTTCAACCCTCCCAGGAAACGACAGTGTGGAGATGAGGTGAGTGAAGCTAAGAGACTGAAAGTTGCAGATGTGAGGATCGATGGAGATAAATCTGTATCTCGATGCTCCTGTCCATCCTTACAGAAGTTTAAAGAAAGCTACATGGACAAACATCAAGCTGTTATTGTAACTGATGCCATTGATTTCTGGCCGGCCTTGAGTTCCAGGAAGTGGGATCTGGACTACATCAAACAAAAGGCTGGCTACAGAACTGTACCTATTGAGCTAGGATCTAAGTACACAGAAGAGTCTTGGTCACAGAGTTTAATGACAATAACAGAATTTATTGAGCGCTACATTGAGAACCCCGCACAGGTGACCAAGGGCTATCTAGCTCAGCATCAACTCTTTGATCAGATTCCTGAGCTGCAAAAGGACATCAGTATTCCAACCTACTGCTGTTTAGGGGAGGAGGACGATGTTGATCAGAATGCATGGTTTGGGCCTGCAGGTACTGTGTCACCTTTGCACTATGACCCCAAGCATAACCTTCTGGCTCAAGTTGTGGGGTGGAAGTATGTGAGGCTCTACTCGGACAGAGTCACAGACCACCTGTACCCCCACCCGAACAGACTCCTGGTGAATACGTCACAGGTGGACCTGGAGGAGCCGGATCATGCTAAGTTTCCATTGTTTGCCAAGGCTCCGTATGTGGAGTGTGTGTTGGGGCCGGGGGAAATGTTGTACATTCCACCACGACACTGGCATTTTGTCAAATCCCTGTCTGTCAGCTTTTCAGTTAGTTTTTGGTGGGAATGATCATTTGCTAACAATAAACTTATTATTATATTTTCATCCAAACTTTTAAATTTTTTTGTTTTTGTGTTGTGTGCATTCAGGAATATTTTCTTGCTATATGAACGGGTATGTAAATAATCAATTCTGAACCAGACAATCCAGTGGTTGACATCATGACCCTCAGTCTGCTCAATTGGGACACAATGACATTCAATGAAAGAGCATTGACTTAACGAGACAGTCAGCCCCAAGTCTGCAACAAATAGATCTTCAGCAACCCATGCTTATGTGACTGCTTGTTGTAAGAGGCGACAAACTTGATGGGGTGGTCAGGCTCACTGACTTGGTTAATGCATGTCATCGTGTCACAATTGCGTGGATCGATGCTCATGATGTCAATCACTGGATTGTCTGGTCCAGACTCGATTATTTACAGACCGCTGTCATAAAGCTGGAATATTGAGTTCATAACTAATGTTATAGCTTCTTAGAGGACAAGGGCACTCGGTTTGGAATCCCAGATTAATCCCGGGTTGATCAGCATTGCCTGACAAGGGCACTCGGTTTGGAATCCCAGATTAATCCCTGGTTGATCAACATATACTTTGAGCCACTGGGAGCATGGCCAAAAATAACTGAAATATTCACAAACATTAACTCATTTCAGGTGTGTGTATACTCTTTGGACTTCTGAACACGTAGGAGTATTTCATTTATACATCTGTATGTCAGCTTGATGTGGAATGAAAGCCAACATGATCAGAACGAACCGGGATTCGAATCCACGACCACAGGATTAATTTATTCCTAAGGGAGGCAACTCTGCAATGCGATTGGCCTTATTACTGTATTATGTTTTGCTGACCATGTTAAGTGACAGATTTTCGGTGGTCGGGCCACACCATACCAAAAGACGTTAGAAGATGGTACTTGTTGAAACTCTGCCTGGTGCTCGGCATTAAGGGGCTAAAACAAGCCTATAGTGGGGTATCCACTGGGGCGTAGCACTACTGTTTTCAAGTGGTATTAATAGGACACACACAAGCACGCGCGCGCGCGCGCGTACCAGTTAAACCCTATTTAAACCAGTTAAACCCCACGTTAAACCCCATTTCACCTCCCCTACCCGTGGCAGTGGACTCCAGCATTATCACCAGTGAGACTGACGATATGACGATGTTGGGGAACATTACTCGGCAACTTATAAGACGGACCAGCGATTATCTTGTTTTCCATCGCCAGATTTAATGGTAGCTTTACTCAACCGTAGCTTTACTTTTCGGTTCTTAATTTGCGGAAATTTATTCATATTGTGTATGTTCTTGAAGGTTGTACTCGATATTCAAGATTGTAGGGAGTAAATGTACGTATTAATGGACCTGCCGACCTATTTTGTGGTTAGTGTGAAGTCTTGATCAGGTGTCATCGTTCCCCAACCTTACCAGTGGCAGGATTGCTCTCGCAAGGTTTTAGTCACTGGTTTGCCTCCTCCAGATTCGATTATTTACATATAGATTGGATATTGCTAAATGCCGCGTCAAAGAAACATTCTCTCATTAACTTTGCTACAAGTACTGTTGCAGTGTGATAGGACACATTAGGTGTTTGAAGCGTTTGTAAAATCGTTAGGTTTTTTCACGCACGCCCCTCGATCCATACATACATACATAGAGTCAGAGGATCAGTGGTAGCTTCAGAAATGAGAATAGGGCACATTTCAGTTGAAATATTTATGTAATATATAAGTAGAAAACAAACATATTATGAAAACAACACAAGTAATATGTTTTCACAACAATGACTTCCTGAAACGTGTTATTGTTTTCAAGAACAAGGAGTATTAAGTTGACACATTCATAGTGGCATACATGATACTGTTGACATTGATATATCTACAGAGGTAACGTTACTAATATTTTTTCATAATTAATATTTTCAAAGTAATAACTACATTGTTGTAATATTATTTAATAATGAACGCGATCAGTGGAGACATGCAGCTATTGTTACAACTGAAACCGACAACTTTAACCATGAACCACAATCTTCTATGAGAGTTACATGTACCTCCTCAATGCTAATATGTTTACTCATGTGGCTTGACACGTCATTTATTACTACTGTCCAAAAGCGCTAATACCGCGCTACACGGAAACTGGGTCAGCGACTTGCTGTAGGTCTGTCCCCGTCCCTCTCGACAGACAGAACCGATACACGGAAATAGGTCATGGAGAAATAGGTCAGATAGAGCGAGACCGGTACCCCGCATTTCGCTTCCTAGAGGCTGCAGGCGATGTTGTGCATGCGCTCTGGAGCAGGCAAACCCGTCTAGGACATCGTGTGTCTCTCTTATGATTGTGCCCGAATAATACGAACGTGTTTCGTGTTAAAGTTTACAGTTACGAATGTTTTAGAACATATTTTCATTAATTTTATGTATTTCGTACGAACGTATATCATTTTACATATGTGAGGCAAAGATAAAGATTCTTTTAAAAGTTTCTTAACATCTTTCCAACTATAACTCGTCCCCATGTACATTTCTCAAACCAAAACAAATAAAGCAATGATTTTACGCCGCTTTTAGCAATAATCACGGCGGGGGACGCCAGAAGTGGGTTTCTTCACTCATTGTACTTATGTGGGGAATAGAACCTGACCCTTAGGCGTGACGAGCGAACGCTTTAACCACTGGGCTACACCACCGCCCTGATACGACGAATAGTTGCATGTTTTCGCATAGTTGTAGGCCCTGTATGTGATGTCAATCGTAGACACTGTGCTAGATATGGTTCATCTGTTTTGAAACTGAAGTCGACGACCTATTTTCAATTCTCTCATCTTTACGAAAATCAACAGGAGAGTATATGTATGCAGACTACCACATTTATTAAAGTTGAAGACAGTAACTCGTCAGGTGAGAGAATTTTCGAATCACAATAAATAAACAATTACGTAACACATTTATTATTAAAATTCACATGTATAATGCGTTTAACGTTAGAAATATACTGTACATATATCGACTTGAATTGACATTCTCCACAAAATCAATTACAATCATTCAGGTATCGATCCTCTTGTGAATTCTTTACCCCAAAATGATGCTGACACTGTCAGATGTCAATGTCCCAAAAGCGGCGCCCGTGACAGTTCAGCACATTAATGGTTTTACATGAATATTCATCACTGAATGGAAACCGGATGTCTGTCTCGGCACCATCGCACCTCGACGTAATGTGAGCTCTCTATGGTTATTATGTTACAGAAAAAAAATAAACATTTGTACAAAATATATTCTCCCGACGACGAAGCTACTAATTAATGGTGAAAGACTTGGTTCTAGAACACAGACATTTGGCGATAACCAGTTTTATGTTGAGACAATCTCATTAAATTCAGAACTATTTCTCCGATACTACACCACTCTGCCTGAACATCTGTGTGACAACGCCTCCACAGGAGGCCACGTCAGGTGAACCGTGAGTGACCTTTGACCGCCTAATCTAACAGAAGGACACGCCGTGATATGACTGGAAAAAGCGGCGTTAAACCCAACTCACTCACTCACTAACAGAAGGATGACGGGGTCCAGTTTTAACAGAAGAAACCTCTCAGCGAAAACCAAATACTGCTTGAAGGTCCTCCAGATGGCATGGCGCTCAGAAACGACAGTTACAAAAATTAAAATATTCACGCAACGTTATGACGCATCCTTTATTATATTACAGAACTGGTCGATTAAGTTGATGCCCGAGATACGTAAATGATGGTCTGAATGCTTCGCTCACTCCAAACGAGTATTCATCGATGCTGATTAGCTGATAAGAAAGTTTACATGGCGAAACCTATATGGGGTTGTGCAAACTTCACGTTGAGAGAGAGGTATCGTATCGGAGAAAATGATCTGATTTTAACGAGGTTGATGTTGGGATAAAAAGTGTTTTCATTCATGACTCGAAGTTTCATATACCTCTTACGATACATTGCGAAGAAGGATTTACACAGTTTGGTGTCCACAGTTACATCTTCAAATCCATATCAACAAATCAACTAACTTGTTTATTAATGTTCTTACGGCCCACAAGGTTTACACCAAATGTCTAGTGTTTCCAATATCACTGCCACATATCCTTTTTCATATACCATCTATCCAGTTGCTGGGCAGGAATAACGAATCATTTCCTTGTCACTCGGAACACATCGTCTCTTTTCATGTGAAATGGTATGACTAGTGTGTTCCGAAAGAAGCCCTCTACACAAATTGGCTGTCGATCCAGGTCCTAAAAGCAGCAACTTCGGTGTACAGCCCCGCCTGGTTGGCCCTGGCGCATTCAAACCCACTGGAGACGATTCCGTACTGTACCCACACGTTGTCATCCAGACAGACTAGCGGGCCGCCCGAGTCACCCTGAAACAATGGTAGGATCCACTAAATGAGACGAGGCGCTATGTACACGAACCCAAGTGCCTAATGCTTCCCTGTATTCTTGTTTTGTTTGTTTGTTTGTTTGTTTGTTTGGTTGGTTTAATCCGCACTTTGAATATTCCAGCTATATGACGGCGGTCTGTAAATAATCGAGTCTGGACCAGACAATCCAGTGATTGACATCATGAACATCGATCCAAGCAGTTGGGATACTATTACATGCATCAACAAAGTCAGCGAGCCTGACCACCGATTCCGTTAGTCGCCTCTTACGACAAGCATTGTCGCCTTTTACGGGGTTGCAGAAGACCCATTCTACCCCGGATCTTCAGGGGTCCGGACCTCTTTTGAAAACAAAATGTAAAATGTTGTAGGCTGTCAAAGTGACCGAGAGAGGATTTTGATATTTTGCACAATTCCCTTTTAAAGATGCTGGATCCGTCCCTGGTGCATGGACCTGTGAGTGAGTGAGTGAGTGAGAGTGAGAGTGAGTGAGTGAGTGAGTGAGTGAGTGAGTGAGTGAGTGAGTGAGTGTTCAAATTTATAGTGATAGCCCACTGAGATACAATGCTGTAGTTTAAAATGGATATCCACTCAAGACAGCATACTGAAGCAGGTAGTCACCTGGCACGCGTCCTCGCCGCCACTAACACCATTAGCAGCACAAATGACGTTGTTGTCGACTCCGGAGGCGGTGGAGGGGAAGGTGTCACGACAGTCTTCAGAGTCGTACAGCTCTAGGTCTACTTCCTGTAGAATACTGGCAGCAGGGCCATTGTCTGAAATAAAACACTCCTTCGTGTATCATCTACATTGTGACGTATTATTTAGTAGTGAGTGAGTGAGTATGGTTTTACGCCGCTTTAAGCAATATTCCAGCAATATCACGGCGGGGGACACCAGAAATGGGCTTCACACATTGTACCCATGTTGGGAATCGAACCCGGGTCTTTGGCGTGACGAGCGAACGCTTTAACCACTAGGCTACCCGACCGCCCCTATTATTTAGTAATTATTGCTAAAGGTGATAAGTAAACGTATTAAAAGAGATAATGTAATGTGAAACATAATATAAAATAATTAACCATACATTGATACATGTTTGTAACAAGTAAGGATAAGAATTTATGGATGAACAACTTCTTTATTACAATTAAGAGCGACGTTTCGGTGTAGGTTCTGACTCCGTTATCAAGCAAGTGTGTATCAAAGAAGTTTGTAACCACAATAGCCCCAGGAGATCCAGTGGTTTAAGGCTCCACAAAGGTTGCGTCCCTTAGACTGGTCGTGGATACCCGCCCATACCATGATCAGGGCTTTCACTAAAGCCGTAAGCGTCTTCGAGCTTTGTCATCGATATGCCGTGACAAAACTATATTCCTATCCAACTAATTCTCTCATTCCAATAAGTAATCTCCACCAGAATTAGTAAAAAACTGGATTCGCTAGTTCCACTAGTTCACGTGACTATCACATTTTGGCGGTAGTCGGAACCCTTATTTATAATGTTGCTCAATGTCAAGTTATATGCCTAATTTCTATTAACTCGGACGTCCTGTTGTACGAACTTTTAGGAACCTGAGCTGGCGTTATGACGCGGACTACAGTTCAATATTAATACACCACAGCTTCTCGAGGCATTAGAAAGGCAACGGAATAAGCCGAGTTGACCCGATTGGTACATAACTATACCGTGACCATGACCTTCATCATTTATGACAAATATGAACACCTCAAATTGGGGCATTGACGCCCTCTCTCGTTAGTCGTATTATAGCACTGGGGCTGCACAGTTGTGGTCACCATTTGACGCTATGTGATACAAGGCCTATGTCAGTTCCCGTCATGCACACTTACAGGAAGTTGTTCCCCATCCAATCACAGTACACGTCCTCCCAGTCTGGGTCACCTGAGACGAAGGCGCCATTTGAACAACTTGACGACACTTTGTGGTGATCGCATCTTTCTTTAGCTTCAAGACAGCAGCATCGAATACTACAACATATAAGATACATCTCTCCATTGATATCAACAGTATCCTTGTGGATGAATAATGGTATTTTTTTAAACTTCAGGAAGTTTAAAGCTACATGTATATGCTTGGCGGCGTGTATGGACCAGGGCGCTTAGCGCTACGACTATAGTAAGTCTGTGTTAAAGTATGCGTGTTAGATCGTCGTAGCGCTACGGTCGCCTTGTGCAAGTGGGCCCAGTGCTTGATACCATGTTGTCATGGTATGTTTTGCGGACATATTCAAGAACATTGTTCAAGTGCTTTAGAAGAAATCTGAGAAATAACAAACGTTACTCTTAGAGCTCTAATAACTACACTCCTAAGAATTTTCTTAGCGAGTTAAGAGTAAGCAGTTTTATGAATACGGCCCCAGATCTTAAACTGTTACCCCCAAACGCTATCCTAGTCTACCCTTATTACAAATAACGGAGTACTGGGAACACTACAGGTTCCTCGTATAGGAGGTTCCGAATCAATTCAACAAAATATGGATGCAGCGAGGTAATCAACATCTTAGATTATCATGTGTATCGTATCTCAATTCTATTATTATTATATACCTAGGACCCAGTCATCACCGGGACCTCGTGTTAACCCCATCTCCATCTAGCTCCAATCACTATCTTAGCACAGCAGTTATATCGCAGGTGAGTGTCATTTGATTGGACGGCTATTTTTAGCGCCCTGTCACTCTTGCTGTTCCCAAAGCAAATCATACGGCTATAATGGGTTTAGGGCAAAGGATGGGAGTTACGACGTTCGTAACCTTATGATGTCTTTTTTTCGGGAAAGTGGACCACAAAGCGATCATGGCGTTACGAACATCGTAAGTGTATGCTAAAGTATAACAGTTACGAAAGTTTTAACCTTGCGATGTTTTGATTGTGAAAATGTTTCCCGAGGCCCGTTCTCCGAATATCGAAAGTATATGGGACTTACGAAAGTCGACTCTCAACGATCGTATTGTGTCAGTGACCCTAATGTTTCTGCGTGGAAGAGGTCTGCAGAAACACGAACATAGTATACCCCAGATGACGTAAAAACAAAGGCACTGACACAGTCCGTTTCCAGAGTTGAAGTTGGGATGAATGACGAACTCTTCTACTTCCATGACTTCCATGTTGGGGTTGCGAGAGTTGTAACTGGCGCTGCCGCTGGTACTGGAACAATGCTTTCCGACCTCTACTGACAGAGAAGAAGCTTGAAGGCCTCTGAAAAACAAATATTATGATAAATGGGTTCATCTTCTGCACGAATTACTGATATTAACAATTTTGTGTACCTTTTCGTCATTCTGAGGCAATTATTTCTAATATGTATGTGGGTTTTCCTTTTCAAATTGTGAAATATACATTCCTTTGCATTTATCCTGTCAAGCTAATATAGATAGACTCATCATAAATGTTTCTATTATTATTGGTTCCATGTTTATGACTATTGTTACTTTTGTTGGCGGCCATCTTGGATTTGACCTATTTTCGGATGGTTTCCCATGTCCGATTTTGGTAAACTATTTTTTGTTTCAAGGCACCAAAATCCAGCAATAAACGTATTCCGTCAATTTTGTTGAACCTGGACTTTTTAATAACTGGATTAAGAGTGACAGAGTTGGGTTTTATGCCGCTCGGTTTTTTACAGATCGCTATTCATTTAGCTGGAATATTGCTGCGTTAAAGGGGAAGTGTACACACAAAAATCACTTTTTATCTTTTTCTAAACAAAACGCAATTTTAGAATTAATTAGTATCTGTATTTGAAAATATACACTCATTTTTTTCACAGTGAAAGTAGGAAGCTCACAATAGTGTGAAAATGATATGCCGTTATGAGGCCTTCGTTTTTCGAGCTAAACAGGCCTGAGTTATCCCCCTTAGATTATGACGTAATTGGTGCCAATTCAACTGGGTCCCTGTCTATTCTCAACGCAAAAGATATCAAGTACCAGTTTGCGGTAAAACAACATGGCCTACGACACATTCCGGCGCAGTGGTGACTCAGCATAACACTATGCTGGCTGGCATCTGAGACGCTAGAATCACACACCTGTACCTACACCACGTGAAGCGGCTCTAAACAAATCATGATGACGTCATAATGTTTATCAATTGGCACCAATGACGTCATATTGCAAGGGGCATAAGCCATGGTGTTTTTGTTGTGGAAATAGAACACTTGGTTAATGTGAAAAATATAAATCGATTTAATGCGAAAAATATGTTAATTAATTGTGATATTTTTATATTTTTGTCTTTGACACTTCTAGGTTAACACTTTTAATGTGGAAAAAATACAAGAAAAATAGGTTCATTTCCGTGTGAACTTGCCCTTTAAACAACAAACAAACTTACACCACACAGTGAGCCGCAGTGAGGACCTTGTTGAGTCCAATCAGACTCCCCCCGCAGGAGTAGGCGCCGAACCGACGCACGCCGACTACGAAGGGGTACTTGCAAGCAGGGTCCACGTTGTTTCCGCCAACTATGCGACTTGTCAAACATGCAGCCTCTGAAACAGTAGCACCAAGCACAACCTTCCATTGTAGACAGATGCTGAGTGTTTACATGGTGAAATTAACATGTTTACTACTACTACTACAACCACCACCACTACTACTACTACTACTACTACTACTACTACTCGTCACGATATGGCTGATATTTTTCCGATTTGACGTTACTCACTCACTCACTCACTCACTCACTCACTCACTAACATGTTTACTACTACTACTACCACTACTACTACTACTACTACTACTACTACTACTACTACTACTACTACTACTACTACTACTCGTCACGATATGGCTGATATTTTCCCGATTTGACGTTAAATTTTCACTCACTCACTCACTCACTAACATGTTTACTACGACTACTACTACTACTACTACTACTACTACTACTACTACTTCTACTACTACTATTACTGCAACCTCTCTCACAGAATTTGCTACTACTTTTTACATATTTTTTTACTTTGATGTTCATTCTATCAACCACTGGTTTATCTTGTCATGATTGTTTACTGGCTGGCGTTGAAGAAAACTAGAGTTATTGCAACTGAGTTTAAAGGTATTTTATGGCCTCATTTGCTCTCCTATCAATTCACCACTTACGTGGGCAGATTTGTGCATCCTCAGCGTTGCAAGCCTTTTCAAACGTATTTCCTATTGCAGACCCAGTGCATGGCTGTCCATTGATTGGCACAGGGTTCGTACACGTGCGCGTCCTGGTGACGTTTTGTCGTCCTCCCCCACAAGGCGTGGTGCACTCGATTTCAGGGACATCGAACCACGGAGACCACCCACCATCCTGAATAACTGAAGATGTGAGATGGCATGTAGAAACCCTCTTTTCACCGTAGACTTGTTCGAACCACCTTCATGTTAACATGACATATGTAGTCCAATGACACAAACCAGAAAAGTTATAATTTGGTATTATTTGAATACACATGAAGAGGTCAGGATTCTGCACCATCCTTGTCTCATTGATTGCTTAAAAATGGGACTCAAGCTATGCTCAACCGATTTTCAAACAAACAATATGTATGAAGCACATTTCTGGAGTTCCCCGCTGTGATATTGCTGGAATATTGCTAAAAGCTGCGTACAACCGTAATCACTCACTGAAACAAACAGTAAATATAAATTGTCAATGCTCGATTTTCTGCCGAAACAGATTCCACTTGGCGTAAAGAGTAAATAGCTGTGGAAATAATATGAATGGACCACTGAAAATCAGTGATGACACCAGGTGTTCGCGAAACGGGTAAGCATGCCTGCCTTACCGTTGTACCCGCCATTCATACAACTTGCATAAAAAAGTAAGTATTTATTGTCTGGTGCAGCACAGCAGTACAGCCGTGTATTCGGGAACATTGCTTAAATACTTTCAAACCGTGAAGATTCCAGGGTAGAAAAGGTCTTCAGCAACCCATGCTTGCCGTAAAAGGTGACTATGCTTATCGTAAAAGGCGACTAACGGGATCGGGTGGTCAGGCTCGCTGACTTAGTTGATGCATGTCATCGATCCCAATTGCGTGGATCGATGCTCATGATATCAATCACTGGATTGTCTGGTCCAGACTCGATTATTTACAGACCGCCGTCATATAGCTGGAATATTGCTGAGTGCGGCGTTAAACAACAAACCAACCAATTATATACTTTCGCGAACACCCGGTGTCATCCAGTGATGCATTCATATAATTTTAATCGCTACTTTATTACGCACAATGGAATGTGTTTCGCCAGATAACAGAGACTAGTTATTCTCTGGTGTGGACATTTTGAATTTACGACTACTGAAGGAAGCTATTTTCAATAATCCCTTCGTTATCAGGATGAGAAGAACAAAATGTTTTTGATTTTCATATTATTCAAACTTCTGTACTTCCAGAGGCTTATGTCCATCACTTGCAAGTGTTGAAATGACTAGATATAGATAAAACAGATCAGACTAGTTGACAGTGCAAATCCCCTTATTTCAATATTCAACCGTCAACCGGAAATGTCCCTTAACTTTTTTCCTTCTTTCCTTTCAGTATTTTTTTATTCAACCGATCGACAATACCTACCACACATAAATCATGCTATTTCGAACAAGGACTCTAAGGACCTAAAATAACCGAGGAAAAGAAAAACGTAACTGAGGATAATTGATGCTAACCTGTACAGTCATCAGTGTTACAATTCAAGGGTACGTTCCGTTCATTGTTTCCACTACAGGGAAGGCCTCCATTGGCCTGGGCGGGACTGTCACACAAACGACGGTCTGTCCTGGTTTGGGTACCGCCCCCACACGACACCGTGCACGCGGTGGTCGATACCGCAGTCCAAGCGCCCCACATCCCATCAACTGGCAGAACAGTGAAAATAAAACATCGGAAATAAGTTTTGTTATGATTGTGTTGCAGTGTAATGATGTTTTGATACAACACTCTCAGCCCCAATAACACACCCTCCGAATAACTAACATCATATTAACCAAGCCCCGGCCAATAACACCAGGCCCACAACATCGACCCTAATCCCACCCACACCAACTCCAACCTAACATCAGCCCAAACCAACAACCCCAAGCTCTCAACTTCGACCTTAACCTCAGATCAACCCTCACCCAACATTAGCCCCAAACAACAACCCCAACCACTAACATCGACCTTAACCTCAGATCAACTCCCCAAACAACATCAGCCCTAACCAACAACCCCAACCACTCAACATCGACCCTAACCTAACATTTGGGCCAACATACACCACGAACCCCATCGTACAATATAAACCCAAACAACATTTTATCGCAATCCCCCCGTAGCACCGACCCCTCACACAAGATCAAGTCTTACCCCCGTCAAAAACATTAGCCCCTATCCTCCAAACATCACCCCCTCCCGAGAACATCAATACTATTTAACCAAGCACTATTTCACCAGGGCGGTCGGGTAGCCTAGTGGTTAAAGCGTTCGCTCGTCACGCCGAAGACCCGGGTTCGATTCCCGACATGGGTACAATGTGTGAAGCCCATTTCTGGTGTCCCCCGCCGTGATATTGCTGGAATATTGCTAAAAGCGGCGTAAAACCTCACTCACTCACTCACTATTTCACCCCAACCTCGAACGACCTTACACAATAATCAACTCAGGCCCACCCAACAATATCAACTTAAATCCAATAATTAATCAAGCCCCACTCAACAATATCATCTTTTACCTCATAATCAACCAAACAATAAACCCGAAACACATTGTAAAGTCCCACGACAATTCTTCTCGTATCTGCAATCTTACCCCAACCCCACAACACAACGACAGCCACACCAATAGCGTCGCTGTCAACCCCCACGTACTTGGACATAACTGTTCGTTGCATGTCCTGATGACGTCACTCGTCGCCGAACCGACACAAGCCTGACCCCCGGGTGAAGGTGCGGGGCTGTCACATGCGCGTGTTCTCCGGTACGTCCTCTGTCCCTCTCCGCATGTAGCAGTGCAGGTTGTCACGGCAACCTCGGGTCCAAACGCTCCCCAGCTACCATCGTCTGGAAAACAGACCCTCAGTGCCAGCATGTCACATGTACATTCAGGCTTACCTGATCCTACAGCAGAACTATATCGAAGACAAAACATGTGACCATATGAATATCAGTCATGTTTGTATATAATAAGTTAGATGATATGGACTCATATCAACTAATGTACTCGTTCTACCTTTTGGCGGAGCAAAGATGCTTCAATTCGTTTTAAAGGTATTGTCAGAGACGAAATACCGATACATGGTCATTGGTATTGTTATGAAAATGAAAGTTAAACCTTAAATGACTTTTCCATATATTTTCCATTTCAAATTTCTGTATTCTCTAATGGGGACTAAATCTCATAATCAATCAAACCCAACCCAACGATATCAACTGTCACCCCATTTGAAACCAAACTCCACCCAACAATATCAACTTAAACCCCATTATCAACCAAAGCCCACCCAACGATATCAACTTTAATCCCAATAATCAACCAAACCCCACCCAACGATATCAACTGTCATCCCATTATCAACCAAACTCCACCAAACGATATCAACTTAAACCCCATTATCAACCAAAGCCCACCCAACGATATCAACTTGAACCCAATAATCAACCAAACTCCCCCAACGAGATCAACTTGAACCCAATAATCAACCAAACTCCCCCAACGAGATCAACTTTAATCCCATAATCAACCAGACCCCACCCAACGATATCAAATGTAACCCCATTATCAACCAAACTCCCCCAACGAGATCAACTTTAATACCATAATCAATCAAACCCCACCCAACGATATCAACTTTAACCCTATAATCAACCAAACCCCACCCAACGATATCAACTGTAACCCGATTTGAAACCAAACTCCACCAACGATATTAACTTAAACCCCATTATCAACCAAACTCCCCCAACGAGATCAACTTTAATCCCATAATCAACCAAACCCCAGCCAACGATATCAAACCGAACCCTATGATCAAGTCCCAAGGCAACCCTCCTCGCATCTTCATCCTCACACTAACCCCACAACACAACGACAACCCGACCCAACAACTCCAACGTACTTGGACACGTTTGTTCGTTGCATGTCCTGATGACGTCACTTGTCGCCGAACCGACACAAGCCTGGCCCCCGGGTGAAGGTGCGGGGCTGTCACATGCGCGTGTCCTCCGGTACGTCCTCTGTCCCTCTCCGCATGTAGTAGTGCAGGTGGTCACGGCAACCTCGGGTCCAAACGCTCCCCAGCTACCATCGTCTGGAAAACAGACACTCAGTGCCAGTATGTCACATGTACATTCAGGCTTACCTGCTCCTACAGCAGAACTATATCAGAGACAAAACATGTGACCATATGAATATCAGTCATGTTTGTACATAATAAGTTCGATGATATGGACTCATATCAACTAATGACTCGTTCTACCTTTTGGCGGAGCAAAGATGCTTCAATTCGTTTTAAAGATATTGTCAGAGACCGAATACCGATACAAGGTCATTGGTATTGATATGAAAATGAAAGTTAAACCTTAAACGACTTTTCCATATATTTTCCATTTCAAATTTCTGTATTCTCTAATGGGGACTAAATACATCACTTGTGTAAAGACTACAAAACTAATAATTGAAATTTAAATATAATTTTCCCCCGCCACCACACAATTATAATCTTCAGAAAGCATATGTGGGGTTCATCTTCAGTCAAAATAAGCACCATTTTATCCCCCACACAAAACGTCAGCCCCACCCTAGTCCTGCACCCTGACTGTGGACTTTATTTATTTTATGAAACAAAATAAATCTAGAAACGCATACAAAAGCAAGTCTAGCCAGCTTTAGCTAGTTCTATTACACAAATAGGGATTTTTTATTATTTTTAGAGTCAAGAAGGATATTGTGTAATATAAGATTTCAGAGACTCATTGTTAGTCTAGCCCCACCCTTCAACAACTATTCACATATATACCCATCTGAACTAGAAATACAGGAGATCAATGAAGCCAACTCGTCTGTTTCATATTAAGATCTATGCATACATATTCTTAGTGATACAACACTCTCCACAAGACTGTATGGCCAGAGAGATGACTTCAACTTTCCAATAGTCAACTTTCCCTTCCCGTCGAGCAATATTCCAGCAGCTTCTGCCTTTGGTGCCGACATTTCACAAGGCTTTTGGTACAATCGGGCATGCTCATTCTATGAAGATTTCAAAGAGCGACATACGACTCTAGCTCAAGAGTTGCTTGATCAGGGGTACAACGTTTAAGGCTTTAGTAAAGCGACCAAAGCTTTTCAGGGCTTGTGAAAGTAATTTCCAAATCTGAAGACATCAGTGACAAAAATGATGTTCGATGCATTTCCCTATTTTCACTTGTACCATGATTTTATGTTCCTGTGTTTTTCGCGGGAGGACACTTGACTTGCTCTTGCATGTGTTTGTGACGGGTGCCGTCGGTGGGGCAGGATGCGCTCACCTTTTCGCAAACACCTGATATCATCACTATTTGATAGTGATTCATAAACACCATGCTATTGATATAGTCGGATTCGTAATCATAGGAAATCTCTGCTGTAGCAGAATCAACCTTAATCTAATAATCAACGAAACCCACCCAACGATATCAACTTTAATCCTGCCATCAACCACGCCCCACTGTACTCAACATCAGCTTTAACCCAATAATCAACCAAACCCCACCAAACAATATCAACTATAACCCAATTTTAAACCAAACTCCACCCAACGATATCAACTTAAACCCCATTACCAACCAAACCACACCCTCAAAATTAACTTGAACCCAATAATCAACCAAACTCCCCCCAACGATATCAACTTGAACCCAATAATCAACCAAACTCCCCCAACGATATAAACTTAAACCCCATTATCAACCAAAGTCCACCCAACGATATCACTTGAACCCAATAATCAACCAAACCCCAGCCAACGATATCAAACCGAACCCTATGATCAAGTCCCAAGGCAACCCTTTTCGCATCTTCATCCTCACACTAACCCCACAACACAACGACAACCCGACCCAACAACTCCAACGTACTTGGACACGTTTGTTCGTTGCATGTCCTGATGACGTCACTCGTCGCCGAACCGACACAAGCCTGGCCCCCGGGTGAAGGTGCGGGGCTGTCACATGCGCGTGTCCTCCGGTACGTCCTCTGTCCCTCTCCGCATGTAGTAGTGCAGGTGGTCACGGCAACCTCGGGTCCAAACGCTCCCCAGCTACCATCGTCTGGAAAACAGACACTCAGTGCCAGTATGTCACATGTACATTCAGGCTTACCTGCTCCTACAGCAGAACTATATCCGAGACAAAACATGTGGACTCATATCGACCAATCCTGTGTACTCATTCTACCTTTTGGAAGACCACGGTAGCTTGATTATCGTTTTAATGGTCTTGACAGAGACCGTGTATATACCAATGGCCTCTGGTAATGGTTCAAAATGAAAGTTAAACTTCAAATAAATTTTCTATTTCAAATTTCTGTGATCTCTTATTTCTATTTCAAATTTCTGTACATCTTTTACAGGGATTGATTGATTGATTGTTGTTTAACGCCGCACTCAGCAATATGCCAGCTATATGACGGCGGTCTGTAAATAATCGAGTCTGGACCAGACAATCCAGTGATTGACATCATGAGCATCGATCCACGCAATTGGGATACGATGACATGCATCCACCAAGTCAGCGAGCCTGACCACCCGATTCCGTTAGTCGCCTTTTGCGACAAGCATAGTCACCTTTTACGGCAAGCATAGGTTGCAGAAGACCTATTCTACCCAGGTCTTCACGAGTCCTCTTAAGGGGAACAAATACATACGACCATCACTTGTGTAAAGAACACATAGTTGCTCGTCGTTTGAGGCGCCGCAATTCGCTGTGCAGAGTTGCGTCCCTTGATTGTTGGCACGAATACCGATTCGCCCGGATTATGATCTTTGTTTTGTCAGCACCATACCCGTGCTCCTGGGTTGCACCAAAGTGGTAAACGTCTGAGACCTGTATCACTTCGGGCTTTCCTCCCACATTAAGCAGACCCGCCCTGATATACCTGGAATACTGTTTAAAGCGGCGTTACGCCAGACTTGCTCACTCGCCGACTCTTTAAGAATCGGGTAAGAATAGGTCCTCAGGTAATACAATCACTGACAAACTGAATTGGGTGGTCTTGATCGGTGATGAGCAAACAACGTCCTCATCTACGAACGGTTTGTCTTACCCAGACTCGATTATCTACAGGCCGTCCTGACTGGTACACATAGCATCAAACAAAAGAAACATATAAACTTACTAATACAGGTTTGGGTATTGCAAATGTTGGTCCTTGTGCCTGTTGCTTGTCCTTGGCATTCTTCTCCGCCTCTAGCAGGGGTGGGGTTGTTACATTCCCGACTCAGCGACAAGACCTCCGTACCACCTCCGCACGTTACTGTACATGCAGAAAGTGGGGTCTCGCTCCATGCACTCCAGCCTCCATTTACCGGTTCAACTTAAAAAAATATGAGCCATACTGAGATCATTTAAATAATTTGAGTTCAAATCTTGGGACAGACTTGAAGTAGATATAGATATCTAGTCTGAATGCCACTTTTGTCTGTAACGAATTTATTGTACTTTGAACTGGCTAAGGACAAAAAAGCTTCTTATCATCGGACAGGTCATGTTTAACAATTGTTTTTCATAGTGAGCAAAATGTTTTTGGAATATTATATGGTTAATAAAGTCAGGTTTTAATATTGGAGCTGTGAAGGACGTCTGGATTAAGACGGGTGAGATGACAGGAGAGCTCGACCCGTATGTGTCAAACGCTCATTGTATAATGGATGCACTAAACGATAATGGTTCATTAATTTTTAATGTTAATGTAGAGGACAATATGCTTACGTTTAGAAAATATTTTTTAAGGCATTTCAATGGACGTTTGTCATCACACCGGTACCATGTGTGAAAACAATCTCTGCACACTGCAGCGGTAGAAACTAACAGTTTTGGTCCACTAATCTGTATAATGATAACATATAGCAAACCCTAAAAAATGTCAAGTGTGTAATCGATACCTTCACTGTTTGGCGGTTGGGCAAGGACTACAGGACTAGTGCATATTGCTTACGCTACACAGTGACGGGTGGTCCTGACTACCAAGTGTAGCGCTACAACAGGGTCTATACTTCTGTTAAACGACAATAGATGTGATCAAAACACATTCAACTTGTACAGGTGTTAGTTAACTACAGGAGCAGGTGATTTATATCCAATGTGTTAAGCACAGGGTCAGGTGATATATATCCAACGTGTTAAGTACAGGATCAGGTGATATATATCCAACGTGTTAAGCACAGGGTCAGGTGATATATATCCAACGTGTAAACTACAGGATCAGGTGATATATATCCAACGTGTTAAGTACAGGATCAGGTGATATACATGTACTTCCAACTTGTCCACCTGTTTGCCAAGCATAGGATCAGTAGATAAAGGTTCATCTTAGGTACGATTTAGTGAACTATCGGGTGTGAAATTCCAATACATTTATATAATAATCATAATAGTACATGCAGGTGTACAACATGATCAAAGATGATGTGACGATTTACTATGTGCAGTTTTACCAAAGGGTCGGTGCAATATGACAATATCTCTTATTTGGATGTGCAGTTTTACCAAAGGGTCGGTGCAATATGACAATATCTCTTATTTGGACGTGCAGTTTTACCAAAGGGTCGGTGCAATATGACAATATCTCTTATTTGGAAGTGCAGTTTTACCAAAGGATCGGTGCAATATGACAATATCTCTTATTTGGACGTGCAGTTTTACCAAAGGGTCGGTGCAATATGACAATATCTCTTATTTGGACGTGCAGTTTTACCAAAGGGTCGGTGCAATATGACAATATCTCTTATTTGGACGTGCAGTTTTACCAAAGGATCGGTGCAATTTGACAATATCTCTTATTTGGACGTGCAGTTTTACCAAAGGGTCGGTGCAATATGACAATATCTCTTATTTCGACGTGCAGTTTTACCAAAGGATCGGTGCAATATGACAATATCTCTTATTTGGAAGTGCAGTTTTACCAAAGGGTCGGTGCAATATGACAATATCTCTTATTTGGACGTGCAGTTTTACCAAAGGGTCGGTGCAATATGACAATATCTCTTATTTGGACGTGCTGTTTTACCAAAGGGTCGGTGCAATATGACAATATCTCTTATTTGGACGTGCAGTTTTACCAAAGGGTCGGTGCAATATGACAATATCTCTTATTTGGACGTGCAGTTTTACCAAAGGATCGGTGCAATATGACAATATCTCTTATTTGGACGTGCAGTTTTACCAAAGGGTCGGTGCAATATGACAATATATCTTATTTGGAAGTGCAGTTTTACCAAAGGATTGGTGCAATATGACAATATCTCTTATTTGGACGTGCAGTTTTACCAAAGGGTCGGTGCAATATGACAATATCTCTTATTTGGACGTGCTGTTTTACCAAAGGGTCGGTGCAATATGACAATATCTCTTATTTGGACGTGCAGTTTTACCAAAGGGTCGGTGCAATATGACAATATCTCTTATTTGGACGTGCAGTTTTACCAAAGGGTCGGTGCAATATGACAATATCTCTTATTTGGACGTGCAGTTTTACCAAAGGGTCGGTGCAATATGACAATATATCTTATTTGGAAGTGCAGTTTTACCAAAGGATTGGTGCAATATGACAATATCTCTTATTTGGACGTGCAGTTTTACCAAAGGGTCGGTGCAATATGACAATATCTCTTATTTGGACGTGCAGTTTTACCAAAGGGTCGGTGCAATATGACAATATCTCTTATGTGGATGTGCAGTTTTACCAAAGGGTCGGTGCAATATGACAATATCTCTTATTTGGACGTGCAGTTTTACCAAAGGATCGGTGCAATATGACAATATCTCTTATTTGGACGTGCAGTTTTACCAAAGGGTCGGTGCAATATGACAATATATCTTATTTGGAAGTGCAGTTTTACCAAAGGATTGGTGCAATATGACAATATCTCTTATTTCGACGTGCAGTTTTACCAAAGGGTCGGTGCAATATGACAATATCTCTTATTTGGACGTGCTGTTTTACCAAAGGGTCGGTGCAATATGACAATATCTCTTATTTGGACGTGCAGTTTTACCAAAGGGTCGGTGCAATATGACAATATCTCTTATTTGGACGTGCAGTTTTACCAAAGGATCGGTGCAATATGACAATATCTCTTATTTGGACGTGCAGTTTTACCAAAGGGTCGGTGCAATATGACAATATCTCTCATGTGGACGTGCAGTTTTACCAAAGGGTCGGTGCAATATGACAATATCTCTTATTTGGACGTGCAGTTTTACCAAAGGGTCGGTGCAATATGACAATATCTCTTATTTGGACGTGCAGTTTTACCAAAGGATCGGTGCAATATGACAAAGTATCACGTGATCACGTGAACCAATCAGGTCTCACCATTCTGGGGATTACGATAGGATATGGTGGGTTATGAAATAACATCATATTGATACACGTAGAATTACGTTAGGATATGTTGGGTTATGAAATAACATCATATTGATACATGCAGGATTACGATAGGATATGGTGAGTTATGAAATAACATCATATTGATACATGCAGAATTACGATAGGATATGTTGGGTTATGAAATAACATCATATTGATACATGCAGGATTACGATAGGATATGGTGAGTTATGAAATAACATCATATTGATACACGCAGGATTACGATAGGATATGGTGAGTTATGAAATAACATCATATTGATACATGCAGAATTACGATAGGATATGTTGGGTTATGAAATAACATCATATTGATACATGCAGGATTACGATAGGATATGTTGGGTTATGAAATAACATCATATTGATACATGCAGGATTACGATAGGATATGGTGGGTTATGAAATAACATCATATTGATACACGCAGGATTACGATAGAATATGGTGAGTTATGAAATAACATCATATTGATACACGCAGGATTACGATAGGATATGTTGGGTTATGAAATAACATCATATTGATACACGCAGGATTACGATAGGATATGTTGGGTTATGAAATAACATCATATGATACATGCAGGATTACGATAGGATATGGTGAGTTATGAAATAACATCATATTGATACATGCAGGATTACAATAGGGTTTTGTGTGCTATGGAAATACATCATATTGATACGGTGTGTTATCATACTGTAACATGCAGGATTACGATTGGATATGGTGGGTTATGAAATAACATCATATTGATACACGTAGAATTACGATAGGATATGTTGGGTTATGAAATAACATCATATTGATACATGCAGGATTACGATAGGATATGGTGAGTTATGAAATAACATCATATTGATACATGCAGAATAACGATAGGATATGTTGGGTTATGAAATAACATCATATTGATACATGCAGGATTACGATAGGATATGGTGAGTTATGAAATAACATCATATTGATACACGCAGGATTACGATAGGATATGGTGAGTTATGAAATAACATCATATTGAGACATGCAGGATTACGATAGGATATGGTGAGTTATGAAATAACATCATATTGATACATGCAGGATTACGATAGGATATGTTGGGTTATGAAATAACATCATATTGATACACGCAGGATTACGATAGGATATGTTGGGTTATGAAATAACATCATATTGATACACGCAGGATTACGATAGGATATGTTGGGTTATGAAATAACATCATATGATACATGCAGGATTACGATAGGATATGGTGAGTTATGAAATAACATCATATTGTTACATGCAGGATTACAATAGGGTTTTGTGTGCTATGGAAATACATCATATTGATACGGTGTGTTATCATACTGTAACATGCAGGATTACGATTGGATATGGTGGGTTATGAAATAACATCATATTGATACACGCAGGATTACGATAGGATATGGCGTGTTATGAAATAACATCATATTGATACACGCAGGATTACGATAGGATATGGTGAGTTATGAAATAACATCATATTGATACAAGCAGGATTACGATAGGATATGGTGAGTTATGAAATAACATCATATTGATACACGCAGGATTACGATAGGATATGGCGTGTTATGAAATAACATCATATTGACACATGCAGGATTACATCACCATATGGTGTGATATCACACTATATGCTTCTTGTACATGCAAGATTACAAGGGGATCGGTGCGATATGACAATGTCTGTCACTTATACATGCAGGTTTACTATACAATATGGTGTGTGATAGTAATATATGCAACACGCACATGCAGGATTACATCACCATATGGTGTGATATCACACTATATGCTTCTTGTACATGCAGGATTACATGGGGATCGGTGCGATATGACAATGTCTGTCACTTATACATGCAGGTTTACTATAGAATATGGTGTGTGATAGAAATATATGCAACACGCACATGCAGGATTACATCACCACATGGTGTGATGCTTCTTGTACATGCAGGATTACAAGGGGATCGTTGCGATACGACATTATATCTTACTTGTACATGCTGGTCTAGAGCAGGATCGGGTATATGGGCCTATTGCGTTGTCCCCAACACAATGAGCACCCCCGTATGATGGGGCGGGGTTGTTGCACAGCCTTGTGCGGGTGTAGGACTCCGTGCCGATTCCACACGACACGGAGCACAGGTCGAACACAGCATCGGACCACTCACCCCAGTTGCCATTGACAACCACCACTGAAAACCCAAACACCATCAGACACTTACAACGAGGACGATCCACTCTCGTGATCCACGGAAACGAAAATTTCTTACGATGTGTATACACTTTACATTGCACAAAGGCTCTCAAAGAATGGGGGTACGGGGGCCAAGTGGGAGGAGTTGTAGCTCTTCACTGCGCAGGGGTAGCAGGATCCATTGACTGTGGGTTCGAATCTTACACCGATTATGACTCTTGGTTAGTCTCACGATAACCGAGCTTCTGGATTTCATCACGTAACGGAAACAAACTTATGTTCGTATGGTTTTGGAATGGTGGCGTTTAGCAGATTGTGTGGTGCAAGATAGTCATCATTCAGTATGTATCTCATTGCATTGCCTGTGAATTCATGTCCTAAATGTTTCTTTTGAGAATAATTGAAAGGCTTTAACTTACTTGGAGTTCAACATGTTAAAAGAGGTTTCTGTGACGTACATATCGTGGTGCAGTACGTATTGAATGTAAAGTAGGGCAGTCGGGTAGCCTAGTGGTTAAAGCGTTCGCTCGTCACGCCGAAACCCGCGTTCGATTCACGACATGGGTACAATGTGCGAAGCCTTTTCTGGTGTTCCCCGCCGGGGTATTGCTGAAAGCGGCGTAAAACCATACTCACTCGCTCGCTCACTCACTCACTCACTCACTCACGCACGCACGCACGCACGCACGCACGCACGCACGCACGCACGCACTCACTCACTCACTCACTCACTCACTCACTCACTCACTCACTCACTCACTCATTCACTCACTCACTCACTCACTCACTCACTGAATGTACAGTGAAACACATTCTGTAAACCAGTACGTGCCTACAGTCGTTATAGAGTTCTATCAGTTATTTGCGACTTCCAGTGTAATGCTCGGTTGTGTATAAAGCTTTTTTGGAAAGAAGAGAAATATGGGCTATCGCTGTTCATACTTGTGATGGACAGCAAAACCATTGATAATGTAATATGTCAGTACTGTGGGCGCGATGGCTTTCATTACTGAAACAAATCCGTAATACAATACACGTACATAGAGCCTAAGTATTCCGGACAGTAATCCGGATTAAAAAATGTTGCATTTTAGGATGACTGGTCCTGGGGAAGGTGTAATGTCCATTATTTATAGAAACGCCGCCCCCCCCCCCCCCCCCCCCCCCCCCCCCTCCAACCACCACCACCACCACCACCCCAAACCCCATGACTCATGGTATTTAACACAAAGCATGACGCATGACACTTGACTTAAAGCATGACGCATGGCACGTGACTTAAAGCATGACGCATGACACTTGAAGCGAAGCGTGACACATGACAATTGAAGCAAAGCATATACAAACGGCCGTGACCCGTGAAGACCCGGGGTAGAATAGGTCTTCAGCAACCCATGCTTGCTGTAAAATGCGACTAACGGGATCGGGTGGTCAGGATCGCTGACGTGGTTGATACATGTCATTGTATCACAATTGCGTGGATCGATGATCATGATGTCGATCACTGGATTGTATGGTTCAGACCGATTATTTACAGACCGCCGTCACTTAGCTGGAATATTACTGAGTGCGGCGTTAAACAACAAACAAACAAACACTCACTCTCACCCTACACTCACTCTAAAACTACACTCACTCTCTCTACACCTACTCTCACCCCACACTCTCCATCACCCCACACACTCACTCTCACCCTACCCTCACTCTCACCCTACACCCACTCTCTCCCCACACTCGCTCTCAAACTACACTCACTCTCTCTACACCTACTCTCACCCCACACTCTCCATCACCCCACACTCTCCATCACCCTACACTCACTATCACCCCACACTCACCCTCACCCAATACTCGCTCTCACTCTAAACACACTCTCACCCCACACTCACCCTACACCCACTCTCTCCCCACACTCTCTCTCACCCTACACTCACTCTCACCCCACACTCACTCTCAAACTACACTCACTCTCACCCCACTCTCATCCTTACCCCCCTCTCACCCCACACTCACTCTCACCCCACACTCACTCTCACCCAACACCCACTCTCTCCCTACATTCATTCTCACCCCAATCTCACCATCACCCCAGCCTCATCCTCACCCCGCACTCATCCTCACCCGACACTCACTCTCTCCCTAAACTCACTCTCACCCCACACTCACTATCAGCCCACACTCATCCTCACCCTACACTCACGCTCACCCTACACCCACTCTCACCCCACACCATCTCTCACCCCACTCTCTCTCTCACCCCAAACTCACTCTCACCCCACACTCACTCTCACCCAACACTCACTCTCACCCCACTCTCACTCTAACCCCACACTCACCATCTCCCTACCCTCACCATCACCCCTAATTAATCCCCACCCAACACTCATCCTCACCCCACACTCATCCTCACCCCTAATTCATCCTCACCCTACATCCACTCTCACCCGACACCATCTCTCACCCCACACTCACTCTCACCCCACACTCATCCTCACCCAACACTCACTCTCACCCAACACTCACTCTCTCCCTACATTCATTCTCACACCAATCTCACCATCACCCCAGCCTCATCCTCACCTCACTCTCATCCTCACCCCACACTCACCATCACCCCGCACTCATCCTCACCCACACTCACCATCACCCCTAATTAATCCCCATCCCACACTCATCCTCACCCAAAACTCACTCTCACCCCACTCTCACTCTCACCCCACACTCACCATCACCCCACACTCACTCTCACCCCACTCTCACTCTCACCCCACACTCACCATCACCCCAAACTCACTCTCACCCCACTCTCACTCTCACCCCACACTCATCCTCACCCCACATTAACCATCACCCCAAACTCACTCTCATCCCACTCTCACTCTCACCCCACACTCACCATCAACCCTAATTAATCCCCACCCGACACTCACCATCACCCCAAACTCACTCTCACCCCACTCTCACTCTCACCCAACACTCACTCTCTCCCCACCCTCACCATCACCCCTAATTCATCCTCACCCCACACTCATCCTCACCCAAAACTCACTCTCACCCCACTCTCACTCTCACCCCACTCTCACTCTCACCCCACACTCACCATCTCCCAACAATCATCCTCACCCCACACTCACACTCACCCAAAACTCACTCTCACCCCACTCTCACTCTCACCCCACTCTCACACTCACCTTACACCCAATCTCACCCAAAACTCACTGGTACCCTACTGCCCCCTACGCCCCCCCCCTTCCACACACCCCCCCCCACACCCCCACCCCCCCCCCACCCCCCCCCACCATTCAAACAGCCACCTCACACACTTTCAATACACTCTCACTTCCAACCCCCACACATTGTAGGAGATTTTGAAGGCACTTACCTGGCGTGGCACAATCACAGATGCTGGCGACTTCGGTAGCCACTATGCTGATCTGGCACTCGACTGCAGTTTTGTCTCGTACTATTTTCTCGCAATAGTGTTTTAGGATTGGACAAACTGAAACAGAAGGGATGACATGATATAGGTGATCATTGTCAGCTTGTTTACTTCCTACTGATACAGGTGATCATTGTCAGCTTGTTTACTTCCTACTGATATAGGTGATCATTGTCAGCTTGTTTACTTCCTACTGATATAGGTGATCATTGTCACCCGTTTACTTCTTACTGATACATGTGATCATTGTCAGCCTGTTTACTTCCTACTGATTTAGGTGATCATTGTCAGCTTGTTTACTTTCTACTGATATAGGTGATCATTGTCAGCCTGTTTACTTCCTACTGATATAGGTGATCATTGTCAGCCTGTTTACTTCCTACTGATATAGGTGATCATTGTCAGCCTGTTTACTTCCTACTGATATAGGTGATCATTGTCAACATGTTTACTTCCTACTGATATAGGTGATCATTGTCAGCATGTTTACTTCCTACTGATATAGGTGATCATTGTCAGCCTGTTTACTTCCTACTGATATAGGTGATCATTGTCAGCTTGTTTACTTCCTACTGATATAGGTGATCATTGTCAGCCTGTTTACTTCCTACTGATACAGATGATCATTGTCAGCCTGTTTACTTCCTACTGATATAGGTGATCATTGTCAGCCTGTTAAAATCCTTCTGATATAGGTGATCATTGGCAGACACAATGTACTGACTCCGAGCCGACCAGTCTTTGTTCAGCCCCTTAATACCGAGCGACAGACAGGACAGCAACACGTACCATCTTTTAACGTCTTTTGGTATAACGCGGCCGGGGATCGAACCACGGACAACTGCAGGGTTAATTTGACAAGGGATCGAGGATACACGTCAAGCGATGTTTACACATCTTGTAAGTTCAAGAATAATACACTTTGTTTGTTTGTTGTTTAACGCCGCACTCAACAATGTTCCAGCTTCAAGACGGCGGGCTGTAAATTATCTGGACAATCCAGTGATTGATATAATGAGCACCTATCTACGCAATTGGGATACGATGCCATCAACCAAGTCAGCGAGCCTGACACCCGATCCCGTGAGTCGCCTTTTACGACAAGCATGGGTTGCTGAAGACCTATTCTACCCCGGATCTTCACGGGCATACTCATGCTGAAGATCTAATAAACATTCACATTACTACCCTGTGTGAGGGGGCACGGGTGGCCCAGTCGTCTAAGGCGCCGCGATTCGCTGTGCAGAGTTGCGTCCCTTTGGCACGCCAGAAACCTAGGATTGTGGGTTCGAATCCCGGTTCGCCCCGATTATGTTTCTAGGTTTGTCAGCACAATACCCGTGCTCGTGGGTTTCACCGAAGTGGTAAACGTCTGAGACCTGCATCACTTCGAGCTTTCCTCCCACATTAAGCTGACACGCCGCGATATAACTGGAATATTGTTAAAAGCGGCGTTAAACCCAACTCACTCACTCACACTACCCTGTGTTTAACTACATTTGCTTTCCAACCGTCTGTCGCATTAGTATGATATAACTGGAATTTGCACCATATCCAAGAATTTGCCGGACAAACCCTCGGACATGGTGCATTAAGTGGCGGTGTAGTGAACGCATGACTAATCAGGTAGTTTGCCGAGGGCGAGGCTCCCTACACGGTGAGGGAGAAGGTCTATATGCTCTAATGTAGTCATCAAACAGCAAGGTCAGGGAGAGGCGCGCTGTGCAGAGTATGTACATGTACTTCACCATAGGCTAGTATAATGGTAGGTGATATTAAAGACGTCTATAGGCTCCTCATGAAAAGGGTTTAGATTGACCGAAACTGCGACAGCTGTACACTGCTTGAAATATGTTTCATTATATATAACATAATGATTCAAGTTCAATGCTTCCAGAATTCTGTTATGCATTGTACACACTGTAAAAGACTTCGTGGATCTGTTTGACATACTTGACACGGAAACATACGGTTTGTTAACGCCTGATCTTGTTTGCATAAATTATGCATTTTGCTCTTAATCAATAATTTCAGTTAATGCTGTTCTTAAAGGACTAAAAACTACCTGGCAAAAGAAAGTATACCTGCATGTTTGATGGTGGCTACAAATAAATAAATAAGAAATGGTTATTCGGTGTGGATGTATTTGATACAGGTGTCAAAGCTGTGTTTTGGACCGTTTGCAGTGTTTCGGCGACTATTTTCGACCGTTTTGATGACGTTAGTAATTTTTGCTCAAATCCAGTTTTCAAGTGTAAACTTTCCTTTGCCCGGCATTTTAATAAAAGCCAAGCAATGCATAAGAAAAATATGTCACATATGAAACCTCCCGACTTTCGCTACGAGATTGTTGCCGTTCAGCCTCATTAATATGTATAGACGGTATATTTGTAAAAATAAAGCTATTTTACAAATATTTAAAAGAAGAGGTCGTTATCATATTTAAACTTTCTTTGTCAAGAACTTGACCTTAAACTTAACCCTGCCTCTTTTGACTGGGTTAACCAAGAAGATCGCGAAAACGTGCCTGTATTAACGGGTATTGAAATACCCTAACCAAGAGACATGTGGACTTCTTCGCATATTCATAATTCCTTATTGGAAAGACATGTGAAAAAAGGTTTCTATTTGGCACAATCGGGGCAGTATGTTATGTCTAAAAACACATGCAGTGAAACCTTGTTATTTCTAACTAAATATATATTAAAGTTTTAGCATTAAATACGACTCCGATTTCGAATACGAATACTTCATTGCGAAAGATCCTCCCAAGTCTTGATTATGTAAAAATATCAATGAACAAATTGTTTTGGTCTGCGATGCTAGACACTAAAAGGAGTCGTGACTCGGGAAGATCCGGGGTAGAATAGGTCTTCTGCAACCCATGCTTGCTGTAAAAGGCGACTATGCTTGTCGTAAAAGACTACTAACGGGATCGGGTGGTCAGGCTCGCTGACTTGGTTGATGCATGTCATCGTATCCCAAATGCTTGAATCAAATGGCAAAAATATTTCATCCCACATGTTTATAATCCAAACATTTCGTTACAAATTTGATTATGCGGGACAAAAACGCAGCTTCACCAGACAGTCCTATGTGTATCTCAAAACTGAGAGTGTTTATCCAAGCGTGTCTTGTCTTCAAGAACTTTAAAGATGTGTATAGCATATCCTTATAGGTGTTTTCATAATTTTTAAAGCAGTTACTTCGTCAAATACTGCATGTTGGCAAACATAGACTCCCGACATGTTGTATACGTCTTGTCAATGTTGTATTGATGATACAACACACATATGTCCCGACATTGTATTCCTCGCGGGTGGTGAAGCGTCTAGCCTGTATCTGTGTACGGAATATGACCAGTGAACGGCATCCTGTGATCATTCCCACGCAGGGACGTGCTCTCAACAACAGCAGGTTTGTTAACATAAACTCCGAATATATTTATCTATGTTATAACGATGCGTACAAAGAGACGTCATTGTTTGCATATAAGGGTATCATCCTATTCGTATCATCTTAAACTATCGCATATATATTTCCGTTTACTAAATTTCTGTTATTTGCAATTAATCAGCATGTTATTACATGTTGATTTGTTAATATACTTATTGTTAACGCCGCAGTCACAAATAGTCCTCTTGTATGACGGCGGTTTGTTCGTAATCGAGTCTTTTCCTAACAAACCAGAGATTGATATATTGAGCAACGTCCTAAGCCGTCGGGGTACAATGTAACGAGTCTAGGTGTGTGTGAGTGTGTGTTTGTGAGTGTGTGTGTTTGTGTGTGTGTGGCTGCTCGTACAAGTCCGGAGCAATGCCGATTTATAGTGCTAGCACAATGAGATACCATGCCGCAGTTTAACATGAATACCCCACTTAGACACAGTATACTGACTCCGAGCCGACCAGTCCTTGTTTGAGCCCCTTAATGCCGAGCGCCAGACAGGGTAACAACAAGTAACATCGTTTAACGCGGCCGGGGATCGAACCCCGGACCTTCCGCTCTCCGGTTCTACTCCAGAACCCACGTAAAGTATTTTAAAGTGAACCCCGTTAATATAGACTGTTCTGTTCCCTGTGGACACCCCCCTACCGGTTCATTGTTACTGAGTAATGACGTTTAACGTATGTAGACGTCCTACAGTGCCAGTCCGGAATGCAGGGTATCCGTAATAACGGGGTTTTACGGGGACATTTGGTATCATCACTGAACTACAGTGATCTATTCATATTATTTTCACTGCTACTGTGCCGTGTAAACCCAGTGGAATCTGTTTCGGCAGATAATCGAGGCTGATTATCCACTGACGTTGACGTTATATATTATATATTTAGCGTACATGTAAGTCTGTAGTGGGGATAAACGCGTAAATGATTTAAAATATTACAGCTTTTCTACAATAGTGTAGCATATCTATTCAACAAATGTACAAACGTACACTGTAAGAGTGAGATTGTTTTTTGCCGCTTTAGCAGTATTTCCCAAAGCTCGTTAGCGTTGGTGAAACATTAAAAAAAGGGGATGTGTTGACAGACCACGGTTCATTATCGGGATTTGTGGCGTTTAATACCACCCTACCACGCGTTCCACATCAGGACAGCCATCCATTAGGTCCCATCTTTAAAAACATTTACCCACTCATTACCTCCCTCCAGCGTTTATCTCACCTGTATTTTACACTAAAAAAACTGGCTTTCATTGCACTGTAAATCACAGTCGTACAACATTCAGTGTGAGTACAAGCATCATCATAACGCCCTTAATGCAAACGTAGATATAAATATGACAAAATAACAAAACGCCTTCATATTGACGAGCAGTCCTACACTCATCCACCGTTAGAATAACGTATATGGAGGCAGTAAGGGCGGGACACGGTGAATCAGTACTTAAAGTAGGTCATACATTGGCAAATAGCTCACGGTATGTAATGTAAGGGGTATGTGTTCGACAAAGACCTGACTCCATATGTCGGGGACAGCATAGGTGGGGCTACCTGTATCAGTAGCTAAAGATGTAGGATATGAACCGGGTGGAAACAGGCATAAAGTTCATTTGTTATATTCGTGACATTTATTTTAACCTGACATTCCCAATCGTCACGACGCATGTGTGTCGTGACTGTTTCGACAATGATTCATTTGTGTATACATACATGATCCTGCTGTCGTGAATAGGGTCTGACTAGTGTATGTTCTTGTCGCTGTAGGGTCAGAGTTTACTTCTAATATGGAGAAGGAACAGAATATGTGGATGACAACTTCTTTATTATGAGGAACACAACGTTTCGGAGTATATGCTTACTCCTTCATCATGTGAATGATTCACCTGATGAAGGAGTAAGCATATACTCCGAAACGTTGTGAATCATTCACCTGATGAAGGAGTAAGCATATACTCCGAAACGTTGTGAATCATTCAACTGATGAAGGAGTAAGCATATACTCCGAAACGTTGTGAATCATTCACCTGATGAAGGAGTAAGCATATACTCCGAAACGTTGTGAATCATTCAACTGATGAAGGAGTAAGCATATACTCCGAAACGTTGTGTTCCTCATAATAAAGAAGTTGACATCCATATATTCTCTTCCTTATGTGTATCACTTCTAAATGCTTTTCAAAGACCTAATATGGAGAAGTCTGTGTAGTATTCTGCAAGACAAATTATGACAAATAGTTTGTAATAGAGCCACGATACGCAACACAATTCTTTTTTTTGTCATATAATTCATAATAACTGGGGGATGGGGGTGGGGCTTGGATGGGGTCCTTGTATCCCTCAATCCCGGTTCGCCCCGATTATATTTTCTAGGTTTCCCAACACATAGTGGTAAACGTCTGAGAGCTGTATTACTTCGGGCTTTCCTCTCACATTAAAGTGACACGCCGTGATATAACCGGAAAATTGTTCAAAGCGGCGTTAAATCCAACTCACCCGTTGTAACGAAAGCATTGGACACTTTCAGATTATATCTAGCAGCAATTAGCTTCACGAAAGGCTTTTCCACTATCACATATAGTGTCCTTAATGTCAATGCAGTTGCTCTTCGATAATATTCATTGACAGCGGTGTGTAAATAAAAGCGACAAAATGTCATAAGACATTTCTGCAAAAAGCAGAGACGGTTGTACAATTCCAGCCAAATCATGAGATGACACCAGGTGTTTTCAAAAAGGTGAATACAGTATTAATATTAATGTTCACTGTGACAGGATATCGTTTTGATATAACATCCTGATACAAATATCTTCATTTAAACATAGTGCACCAATCCTAACGACTATATAAACAGCTACTGTACAATAGTCGTAGTTGTAACCTTGACCGTGAAAGGTATGAAGGTCACTTGGTGACCGTGCCACGTGTCAAGCAAGTAGCGTATCCGGATAGGCGACTCCGTTAAAGGGACGAGGCGCAGGCAAAATGAAAGTCCTACCAAATTTGATTGATGTCTTTAAATACTATTTGTGTTACAAGTCAAATTAAGTTGCATATCAACCAAACAGCAAACCTAACCTCAACTACCGAAAAGTACCCTAACTTGCTACAAATGACATTGTCTTGATCTGGACTGGGTGTCAGATCGTAAAAGACAATGTCTCTAACCAATTCCGAAATCCATTGTATGACATATTTCAGGAAAATACACCCACCCATACATGCACTTGTGTTGAGGGGCGGTCGGGTAGCCTAGTGGTTAAAGCGTTCGCTCGTCACGCCGAAGATCCGGGTTCAATTCCCGACATGGGTACAATGTGTCAAGCCCATTTCTGGTGTCCCCCGCCGTGATATTGCTGGAATATTGCTAAACGCGGCGTAAAACCATACTCACTCACTCACTTGTTGTGTTGGGCAGGGTCGGACAACTGGTGGTGGAGTGGGTGTAGCGCTCTGAACTGTACTACAGTTTTATTCCGGTTTGTCAGTTTATTGGGGAGGAAACCCCACAGCGATGTAGGTCGTGCAGTTTAATACTTTAATAAAACAACACAACCTTTTTCAGTAATCATAAGAAATCTCTGCAGATAACCTCGATGTCGGATATGGTTCTGATAAACCAAGGATTATAATGGGGATGAATATGGGATTCGAACTTATTTGCGATTGATTGAGAAATATATCAATATATACGAATGTCTTCAATGCAACATGTTCTTCACCAAGTAATTACCATAACAGATTTAATGATATTGGACGTCGTGGAATGATATTGGAATGCTATCCACCATTGTCCTTTACCAATAGAACCGCCTCCGTGGTCTAGTGGAAGAGCGTCCACCAAGAGAACAGAAGGTACGGGGTTCGATCCCAGGCCGCGTCATACCAAAAGACGTTAAACGATGGTACTTGTTGTTACCCCGTCTGGCGCTCGGCATTAAGGGGCTAAAACAAGGACTAGTCAGCTCGGAGTCAGTATACACGTACAGTGTATGAGTGAGGTATTCATGTTAAACTGCGGCATGGTATCTCTGTGAGCTAGCACTATTAATCGGCATCAGTCCAGACTCCAGCTACACACACACACACACACGTGCATGCACGTCGCTTTATAAGTGCAATAATCTTAGACGCAACGTTAAACCCCATGTCATCTCACCTCACCTTTACCAATATGTTGAGATTATTGTTAACGCTTCGTTGCAGTTAAAATTTAATGATATAGAAAGTCATTCCTTACCAATATGTATACATAATAGATAATGATGATATGCGGTGACGTCATCATGGTAGAAAACAAATCCGTCAAAGTACGAAATTACAACATGTAATTGTAATTTAAGTAAAAAACAGAATTTCATTCATTGACTTTGTCTTGTGTCAAAGATAGGCTCGCCGAGTAGTAGGTAACAGCTACGTATATCTACCGCTCTCATTCACATATAATGCAGTACAATAGCGACACCAGGTGTCAGGTATAGAGGCACGGGTAGACAAATCTTAACGGATTTACAGGACAGTAACTATGAATACTAAGCAGGACCTCTCTACAATAACTACACATTCCGCTGTCTTCCACGACAATCCTCCAATTTACTTGTCATTAACACCGTAACCTATTTGGGGCTTAAAACGGATATCAAAGCAAATTTCAATTTGTTTAAGCGTTTGATGTTAAGACATGTATTCTTCCAGACTGCATCACCCGCGCAAACAGAATAGACAAAATTCCTTCTGAAATATAAATAACAATCGTATTGCGACGGTTGCGTTCTCAGGTTTCGGACGGGCACAGTCAGTACAGTAGTTTAAGGCTCCGGAATTAGCTGTGTTGACCTGCGTTCATTAGCTGTACCAGGAGGTTCTCATCGTAGGTTCGAATCCCTATTTGAGACTGATTATGACACTTGGTCTGTCAGCACCGTAGGCGTGCCCGTGGGTTTCACCAAAGCAATACAGTCTTATGTTATTTTCGGTTTTCCTAAAAAAATAATCAGGAACACTGAATTTTCTGACACACTGTTCAAGGCGGCGTTAACATGTCACTCACTTTGTTCAGAAATAATCGTGTGTTTGTTTGTTGTTTAACGCTAGTCTCAGCAATATTCCAGTTAAATGAGGGCGGTCTGTAAATAATCAAGTCTGGACCAGACAATCCAGTGATTGACATCACGAGCATCGATCTAGGAAATGGGAATTCGATGACATGCATCAACCAAGTCAGAGTCTCACCACCCGATCACTTTAGTCGCCTCTTACGACAGACATTGTTTGATGAAGACCTATTTTAACCCGGATATTCACGGATACTCAATGTAATCAAGCAGATATCTTGGCATGGAATGGAATTCACACTGCTTACTTATGATGGGGAATACCCACCCGGATCTACTTCAAGACAAGCGAACACTTTGACTAATAAGTTATCATAATAATGCAAGTGAACTATATTCTGTAAACTTATTGTTTGTGTACTCCCAAAAGAAATAAAATCACAAAAAAAATAATAATGGACCTTATCAATCACACAACATAAGCGATTTTCGTTTCTCCAACGCCTGTATATATATTTCTTATAATTATGGAAGGTTTTGTAGCTTTTTTAAAATCTAGTTGGACTTTATACTTTATATTTTGACTATGGGTCTCTTCTAAATCTGTACCAAGATAAAGTTTTGTGCATAGTTAACAAGAAGGAGGACATTATAATTTATAATATTATATACAAAATATAGGTATTGCTTTTCACACTTCCCAAGGTTCGATTATGCGCCAAAACATATTTCATTGGGCGTAAAAGTGAAAAGTATATGAATGAATCGCTGAGACACCAGGTTTCATTTTAAACAAAAGACACTGCTCTGAATTATGTTTTAAATTAATTATCAGTACCTTATTTACTGCGAAAGAATACAAAACTTGGAGAGTTACCAACTCAATGGTATCGAAACAAAGCTTGCCAATCTTTTCAACGGCTTTGACGTATACTGAAGTTACTAACACAAGAGGTCATAAAAAGTATAAATGAAAACCCAACTTACTTGTAGGTAACCCGAATCTTGCTTTGAACCGCCATGATTCTGCGGTCACTGCTTGGACATTGCTGCAGACACTATACCGGAGATCAAGGAAGACTAACGCGTACCAACTAGGCATATACACATTCCGTTTACTCAAAGAGAGTTCTAGCCCATTATTGGTCTGGCTGCGTTGACGGAAGGTCCGAGCAAGGACGAGGTGTACCCCCGCACATAACAAGCCGCACAAGAGTAGTCCAGGCCTCATCTCTCCTTCCGTATCGACTGCGCCGGGTGATGAGTTTCACCTTCTTTTAAGCTGAAGCCCTACTGTCCCAGAAGATCGTACCCACTGACTGCGAGTGTATGCGACAATGGCGGGGTGGCTTGGATGTTGCATAGAAATCTTGCAGTGGCTTCTGTTTGCCCACAACGTCTTCACATGACAATTAGTTTGATCCCGGGCTATAGAAAACATGTGGGTTCCCTACAGCTTAGCAAATACTGCTACGTTTGCATTAGAACTGCTACAGCGGAGATTAAATACTGCTTATACCACTGTGGTGTTGTCAACAGTCATCTGAACATACAGACCTGGACACATGTAAAGATGTCAGAGAGAATATGTACAGTTGACAAAACAGACACAGAGAATATGTACAGTTGACTATAGAGGCACAGATAATATGTACAGTTGACTATAGATACACAGGGAATATGTACAGTTGACTATAGAGGCACAGAGAATATCTACAGTTGACTATAGAGACACAGGGAATATGTATAGTTAACAATACAGACACAGGGAATATCTACATCTGACTATAGAGACACATGGAATATCTACAGCTGACTATAGAGGCATAGAGAATATGTACAGTTGACTAAGGAGACACAGAGAATATGTACAGTTGACAATAGAGACACAGAGAATATGTGCAGTTGACTATTGAGACACAGAGAATATGTGCAGTTGACTATAGAGACACAGAGAATATGTGCAGTTGACTATAGAGACACAGATAATATGTACAGTTGACTATAGAGACACAGGGAATATGTACAGTTGACTATAGAGACACAGAGAATATGTACAGTTGACTATTGAGGCATAGATAGAATGTACAGTTGATTAAATAGACACAGAATATATCTACAATTGACTACAGAAACATAGAGAATATGTAGAGTTCACTATAGAGACATAGAGAATATGTACAGTTGACTACTGAGGCATAGAGAATATGTACAGTTGACTATGGAGACATAGAGAATACGCACAGTTGACTATTGAGGCATAGAGAGAATGTACAGTTGATTAAATAGACACAGAATATATCTACAATTGACTATAGAAACACAGAGAATATGTAGAGTTCACTATAGAGGCATAGAGAATATGTACAGTTGACTACCGAGGCATAGAGAATATGTACAGTTGACTATGGAAACATAGAGAATACGCACAGTTGTCTATTGATGCATAGCGAGAATGTACAGTTGATTAAATAGACACAGAATATATCTACAATTGACTATGGAGACACAGAGAATATGTACAGTTGACTATAGAGGCACAGAGAATATGTACAGTTGACTATAGAAACATAGAGAATATGTACAGTTGACTATAGAAACATAGAGAATATGTACAGTTGACTATAGAGGCATGGAGAATGCGCACAGTTGACTGTAGGGGCATAGAGAAGACGCACAGTTGACTATAGAAACATAGAGAGTATGTACAGTTGACTATAGAAACATAGAGGATATGTACAGTTGACTATAGAGGCATGGAGAATGCGCACAGTTGACTGTAGGGGCATAGAGAAGACGCACAGTTGACTATAGAAACATAGAGAGTATGTACAGTTGACTATAGAAACATAGAGAGTATGTACAGTTGACTATAGAGGCATGGAGAATGCGCACAGTTGACTATAGAGACAAAGAGAATATGAACAGTTGACTATAGAGGCATAGAGAATATGAACAGTTGACTATAGAGACATAGAGAATATGAACAGTTGACTATAGAGACATCGAATATATCTACAGTTGACTATAGAGACAAAGAGAATATGAACAGTTGACTATAGAGGCATAGAGAGTATGTACAGTTGACTATAGAGGCATAGAGAATATGAACAGTTGACTATAGAGACAAAGAGAATATGAACAGTTGACTATAGAAACATAGAGAGTATGTACAGTTGACTATAGAGGCATAGAGAATATGAACAGTTGACTATAGAGACAAAGAGAATATGAACAGTTGACTATAGAGACAAAGAGAATATGAACAGTTGACTATAGAGACATAGAGAATATGAACAGTTGACTATAGAGACATAGAGAATATGAACAGTTGACTATAGAGACACCGAATATATCTACAGTTGACTATAGAGACAAAGAGAATATGAACAGTTGACTATAGAGGCATAGAGAGTATGTACAGTTGACTATAGAGGCATAGAGAGTATGTACAGTTGACTATAGAGGCATAGAGAATATGAACAGTTGACTATAGAGACATAGAGAATATGTACAGTGGACTATAGAGACACCGAATATATCTACAGTTGACTAAAGGGGCATAGAGAGTATGTACAGTTGACTAAAGAGACACAGAATATAACTACAATTGACTATAGAGGCAAAGAGAATATGTACAGATGACTATAGAGGCATAGAGTATACGCACAGTTGACTATAGAGACATAGAAAAAAAGTACAGTGGACTATAGAGACACAGGTTATATGTACAGTTGACTATAGAGACACAGAGAATATGTAAAGTGGACTATAGAGACACGGGGAATGTGTACAGTTGACTATAGAGACATAGAGAATGTGTACAGTTGCCTATGGAGACACAGAGGTTATGTACAGTTGACTTTTGAGACAAAGAGGATATGTACAGTTGACTATAGAGACACAGAGAATATTTAAAGTGGACTATAGAGACTTAGAGAATGTGTACAGTTGACTATTATGACATAGATAATAGGTACAGTTGACTATTATGACATAGATAATAGGTACAGTTGACTATAGAGACACAGAAAATACGTACAGTTGACTATTGAGACACAGAGGATATGTACAGTTGACTATGGAGACACAGATTATATGTACAGTTGACTATAGAGACACAGGGAATGTGTACAGTTGACTATTGAGACATAGAGAATAGGTAAAGTTGACTATAGAGACACAGAGAATATCTACAGTTGACTATAGAAACACAGATAATATGTACAGTTGACTTATGAGACATAGAGAATATGTACAGTTGACTGTAGAGGCATTTTGAAAATGTACGTGTGACCATTGGGGCATTTTGAATATGCACAGTTGACCGTACACACATTTTTAATATGCACAGTTGATCACAGAGGCATTTTGAATATGCACAGTTGACTAAGGAAGCATTCTGAATATGCACAGTTGACCATAGAGGCATTTTGAATGTGTACAGTTGACTACAGACGCATATTGAACATTCACATTTGACCACAGAGGTATTTTGAATATACCGAGTTGACCTTAGAGGCATTTTGAATATGTACATTTGATGACAGAAGCATTTTGAATGTGTACAGTTGACTACAGACGCATTCTGAACATGCACAGTTGACCACAGAGGTATTTTGAATATGGACAGTTGACTAAAGAGGAATTTTGAATATGCAGAGTTGACCTTAGAATGATGCATTTTGAACATGCACAGTTGACCATAGAGGCATTTTGACTATGTACAGTTGACCATAGAGGCATTTTGAATATGTTCAGTAGAGTACAGAAGCATTTTTAATATGCACACTTGTCCATAGAGGCATTTTGAACATGCACAGTTGACTACAGAGGTATTTTGAATATGCAGAGTTGACCTTAGATGCATTTTGAACATGTACAGTTGACCATAGAGGCATTTTGAATATGTACAGTTGACCATAGAGGCATTTTGAATATGCACACTTGACCATAGAGGCATTTTGAATGTGCACACTTGACCATAGAGGCATTTTGAATATGCACACTTGACCATAGAGGCATTTTGAATATGTACAGTTGACCATAGAGGCATTTTGAATATGCACACTTGACCATAGAGGCATTTTGAATATGCACACTTGACCATAGAGGCATTTTGAATATGTACAGTTGACCATAGAGGCATTTTGAATATGGACAGTTGACTACAGAGGAATTTTGAATATGCACAGTTGAATAAGGAAGCATTTTGAATATGCACAGTTAACCATAGAGGCATTTTGAACATGCACAGTTGACTACAGAGGTATTTTGAATATGCAGAGTTGACCTTAGATGCATTTTGAACATGTACAGTTGACCATAGAGGCATTTTGAATATGCACACTTGACCATAGAGGCATTTTGAATATGTACAGTTGACCATAGAGGCATTTTGAATGTGCACAGTTGACCTTAGAGGCATTTTGAATATGTTCAGTAGACTACAGAAGCATTTTGAATATGCACAGTTGACCATACAAGCATTTTGAATATGTACAGAAGATCACGGAGGCATTTTGAATGAGCACATTTGACCATGGAGGCATTTTGAATATGTACAGTTGACCATAGAGGCATTTTGAGCATGTTCGGTTGACCATACACGCATTTTCAATATGTACAGCTGACCACAGAGGCATGTAGAATATGGACAGTTGACTACAGAAGCAATTTAAGTATGAACATTTATGGTTCGACGTTTGAAAAAAAAATTGGCTGCCACAATAATACATTGTTGCAAGATATCAAACAAAACACCATGATATTGTTTCGATAAAATAAATAAGGTTTCACAGCTGTAAAATATCTAGTCTCCATAGAAAATCCCAAGCCCCTTTATCACAGTGCCTTATTATGAAAATGTCCAAAGACTATTTAATGTGTAAACATAAATATATCGACCGATAGTAAACCAAAATACGTGTATATAGCATAAATGTAAATTGACTTTGAAAGGTATTTATAGGTACGTATTTGCATATACACCTACCTAATAAAGATATGTATGAAATCATATCAGACTTAAATCTTATGTAGATCTGATTGAGAATACAGGAACAATGAAACGCCTACAAGCCACCCGACTCCTTTAAACATAATTATCGTGCAGTGCGGGTAGGTACACACAAGAATGTACACACAAAATATGTACTTCAGTCATTCTTATCTCATTGAATAGATAATTGATTTTTTGTTGAGAAAATATTGCATCAACCCGGATAAAATCCACTATATTGTGTACACTGCATATTGATCGAAATTAAAATAAGTAGATTAAATTAAGGAGTCTAATTCATTTCAATCAGTCTGTCTAAACGCCAGTCAATTTTTTAGGCAATATATATATATCTATTGAATGAAATTTTTAGTCAACATATATTGCCTGATTATAGACATTTTTAACAGAAAACAAAACAAAAATAACAAATGTACAATTAAACCTTCGTCAAAGGGAATTTGGTGTCGTCAAACGTATATTGACAAACGTAAGTATCTTTTTTGTATTGAATTACATTTGAGAGATGCAAATAGTGAACATACCTTGGCGAGCAACCCGCACTGCACGATAATTGTTCTCGTCACAGGCACAAGGGTTCTGATTCCACTTGTGTTAATTTCTCTCATACCTATCTCAAAAATCAAAACTTAAAACATATTTAACTTTCAAGTCGGTATTAACAATAGAAATGTACCTTCAGGAAGTAAACAAGAAGATCTATAAAGAAACCCTAACAAGATTCAGATGCAGCTGCCATAAACTTTTGATCGAAACTGGACGTCATACCAATATAGAAGAAAACAAAGGATTTTGCCCACAATGTCAAAAATTGGACTTCAACTACATTGAAAATGAATATCATTTCCTTCTTATTTGTACTTCATATTCGACATTACGTTTACATTTTATTGCTACATATTTTCACACTAATTCATCATATGAAAAATTTGTAAATCTTATGTCTTCTAAATGTAAATACACTATTACACAACTTGCTAAATATATCTACCACGCTTTTAGATTACGTGAGTCACTCACAATTCACTGATATATTATTTATGTGTTATATTCCTTTCATACATTTATGCATACACGTTATTGATATCATGTATGTTCTATGGGCCTATGGCCTTAAACTTGGAGGAAATAAACTCTATATCAATTTCTCTCATGTTTAAAGGGGGCGGGTGGCTTAGTCGTCTAAGGCGGCGAAATTAGCCTGGCAGAGCTGCGTCCCTTGGGCACGCCCGAAACCTATGGTTGTGGGTTCGAATCCAGGTTCGCCCCGATTATGTTTCTAGGCTTGTCAGCACCATACCCGTACTCGTGAGTTTCAGCGAAGTGGTAAACGTCTGAGAACTGTGCATCACTTCGAGCTTTCCTCCCACATTAAGCTGAAACCCCACAATATTGTTAGAATATTGTTCATAGCGGCGCTAAACCCAACTCACTCACTCATTGTTTGAAGCAATCAAACAAACCCTTCTCCGAGTAGTTGAACTGCTAGCAACTTTCAAGACACTGTTGCGGGACACATAGAAGGAAAACAGCATTGTCTGGGCATGAGTATATGAACTTATGGTCGTTTATTATAGGCAACAAGTTTCTCTACTATACGTACATAGCAATCTGTACCCCTTGAAATAGACTAATGCTTTGTCTCTAAAAATATATAATTTTGATAGAAACAAGCAATTGAAGGAAGCCCGAGTGAGATGGGAGATTTAGAACCTATGGAAAATGTAAACATGCTTCATTTAAGGATAGAAAATTGCATCAAACTTTAAGGCTGGGCGGAAGGGAAAATAACATTGTTCAGGGACTGTAGGAAAGACTGCCCTTGAAGATCCGGGTTAGAATTGGCCTTCAGCAATCAATGCTTGTCGTAAGAGGCGACTAGCGGGATCAGGTGGTCAGGCTCGCTGACTTGGCCAATGCATGTCATCGTATACCATTTACATAGATCGATGCTCATGATGTCAGTCACCGGATTGTCTGGTCCAGACTCGATGTGACAACGAACCAAGCGTTTCGTGTCCACTGTTTCACACATCATGGTATGTTTGTGTGTTGTTTAACGCCGCACTCAGCAATAATCCAGCTATATGACGACGGTCTGTAAGTCATCGAATCTGGACCAGACAATCCAGTGATTGACATCATGAACATCAATCTACGTACTTGGGATACGATGACCTGCATCAACCAAGTCAGCGAGCCTGAATACCCGATCACGTTAGTCGCCTCTTACGGCAAGCACGGGTTGCTGAAGACCTAGTCTAACCCGGAACTCCACGGTTCATTATGATGGGTGTCGCCCTCAACTGGAAGCCAGCGAGACGAGATTTTGTAACATGAAATGATTATATTGTGTCCAAGGTTATACACACATTTACGGACGTGATTTAGAGAGAAAACACGTAGATCGTGACGAGTCCATAATCCACTGAAAGTATAATACAATGTGTTTCTAATACCGTATACTACAGTATGTGTTTACTTTTCATTGAATTACTTTTAGCTATTCAATGACCATCTTCGTGCGTGAGCAACGAATAATCCCACACGATAAAAGAGTGGGAAATCACGAAGTGATTCAAGTGAACTACATTGTGACTATTTATCTATTATTCATAATGTCAACAACATCCTCTCTCTGGATGACGACATGTTGACAATGGCGTAGGGATACATTGAATAGTTGTCACGTGCGCACGCCGCAGACGAGCAGGCCAAATGTCATTGTTGGGATAAACCAGTTGAAAGAAAGTAAACACAGATTGCAACATTCAGTGTTGACACTGACCCCTACTCCCCGATTTTTTTAACAACTTGACAATACATTTAGCATCCTATATATACGGATGATTTCAAATGAAGATGATTCATTAAATGAAACTTAGTGGTTCTCTATATTAGTAAATTGAATCCAGTAATTAACTGGAGTATTGCTGAGTGTTGCATTAAACAACAAACAAATCAATAATTAACATTCAACTTTGTTTGGTTTGTTGATCGGTAGTTTAATCAACAGTTTTCTGGGAAACCTGTAAATAATAGAGTCTGGGCCTGATAATCCAGTGATAGTATTATGCGTAATTCCTGACGCCGTCGATATACGATGATGCGCATTCAACAAAATAACCGCGTCAGACCAAAAATCCATCAAATCGCCTCTTTCAACACTGAAACGTATTAACAACAAAGAAACGGGGACTGTCTCCATTTACATTCAACACCTTGATCTGAGCGGTATTTTCTAATACAGTCATGCCGAAATCGAGGATCGGGCTTTCTAGGTGTGACATTGTCTCTGGCTACCTCGTGGTCAGACGTGGTGGCTTGGGTGATCGTGTCTCCGTACAATGATGGCGTAGAACGTTGCACTGTTATTATTATGATGAGAAACAAAATGCAGCAAAGAGGGTTTAGGTGATCCCGGCACAGTCAGGCTGGTTTGGCTCATCAACAGCTCAGGGCTCTTGCCTCCCCTAAACGCAGCCCACCGACTCCCCATTGTTCTCGGTGCCTCAGGTTTTGGTACCTCCAAATCTGTTGACTAATATTGGGAGAGTACCCGGGTTTGCTACCAGGAATACAGCCCTTCTGACACTCTGGGTAATGCAGAAGGCTGCAGTGTTGGGGAGTCTTCACATTCTCCGAAAAGTTCTGGGTGGGTTTGACTAGGCAGCGCTTCCTGGGAGAAGTCCCTTTCGCTGGGCTGCGTGTAGAGGGAGCAAGGGCCCTGAGCTGATGATGAACCTAACTAGCCTGACTGTGCCAGGATCTCCCAAACCCTCTTTGCTGCATTATGGTATTTTAATCTGAAACTACTACTACTACTACTACTACTACTACTACTACTACTACTACTACTACTACTACTACTACTACTTGTTTGTTGTTTAACGCCGCACTCGGCAATATTCCAGCTATATGACGGCGGACTACTACTACTCTACTTCTACTACTACTACTACTACTACTACTACTACTACTACTACGACTACTACTACTACTACTACTACTACTACTACTACTACTACTCCTTGTAATAATAATGCGACAAAATCCATTCCATATCCAATAGAAATCTCTGCATAAAGCAGAGTCGATGGTACGATTTCGACTCTATCATAAGCAGGTGTTTAAGAATCACTATCCAACAGTGATGATACCAGGTGTTCGAGAAACGATTACCCTAGCTCGTCCGGCCCCACCGGTTAAATCACTCTGAATAATGCGATGCGATAACAAGATGAACATTGGAACACATTGTAGAGTGAGTGAGTATGGTTTTACGCCGCTTTTAGCACTATTCCAGCAATATCACGACGGGGACACCAGAAATGCATTGTAGAGTACTTTTTGTATTATAGATATAACCTTTGCAAATGCCCTTTAAACCCTGTTTAACTACTGTCTGGATTTGGTGCTCCAAGGACACCCTATTCGGTAGTTTAATCGTCACACTGTCATACAAGCTACACTCTCTTCATGACCTCAAACAGTTTCAATTCTTCACACAGGTATTGTGAAGTTCACCATGTTGTCTGGTCCGTGTCACAACGTAAACAAGAATGACCCGAACAACGCTTGCATGACCTCAATAGAATCTATTTGTCCTCAACAACGACTATTGTCGGCGAATGCGTAGAAAACGACATACGTGATTGGAATCCATTTGGGTGCACAATCCCTTATAAACACACCGCTACCCCAGATAAGTGATGTCGCATGTTGGGCCAGGGATATGTCGCCAGTGGCGGGAAAGGGCAGACGACACGACCCTCTATCCCGCGGACAAGTAAATGGACTTAACAAAAGATGGTGTGCGTAGACAGAATGAGAGAGACTAACACTGTTATTTAAAGGGCAAACAATAGATGTGTATTTTCCATTGTAACGATGGGTATTGGAGGTTTAACGGTGATGAAGAATGACCTGATTGACACGCGATTAGGTAGGTGAATATGAATAAACTGAGACGGTACCGAGTCAACCCGATGTTCATCTGGAAGCCTCTACCTTTGTGTATGTCCATGCACTGTCTGATATTTATCCGGTATTGTTAAGTTGACCTGGTCAGGGTAAGGTTAAGGGTGCTAGGATTTAATATATCACACTGAATAATGATAAACTGTGTCACTGGTTCATGGTCAGCGAGGACAAGGGAGAGGCGCGTTATGTGACGTCTGATAGGTAATGTCTTCACCTTTGTCAGTTGCAGAAGAAGCTCTGCCAAAGCCAGCACCACCAGGAACCCAGGACCACCAGGAACACAGCACCACCAGGAACCCAGCACCACCAGGAACCCAACACCACCAGGAACCCTGCAACACCAGGAACACAGCACCACCAGGAACCCTGCAACACCAGGAACACAGCACCACCAGGAACCCTGCAACACCAGGAACACAGCACAACCAGGAACCCAGGACAACCAGGAACACAGCACCACCAGGAACCCAGGACAACCAGGAACACAGCACCACCAGGAACCCTGCAACACCAAGAACACGGCACCACCAGGAACCCTGCAACACCAGGAACACGGCACCACCAGGAACCTTGCAACACCAGGAACACAGCACCACCAGGAACCCAGGACAACCAGGAACACAGCACCACCAGGAACCCTGCAACACCAGGAACACGGCACCACCAGGAACCCTGCACCACCAGGAACACAGTCCCATCAGGAACACAGCACCACCAGGAACCCAACACTCAACACCACCAGCAACACAGCAACACCAGGGACCCTGCAACACCAGGAACACAGCACCACCAGGAACCCTGCAACACCAGGAACACAGCACCACCAGGAACCCAGGACAACCAGGAACACAGCACCACCAGGAACCCAGGACAACCAGGAACACAGTACCACCAGGAACACAGTCCCATCAGGAACACACACCCACAAGGAACGGAGCACCACCAGGAACACGGCACCACAAGTAACACGGCACCACCAGTAACCCAGCACCACCAGGAACACAACACCACCAGGAATACAGCACCACCAGGAACACAGCACCACCAGGAACCAAACACTCAACACCACGAGCAACACCAGGAACACAGCACAACCAGGAACACAGCACCACCAGGAACCCTGCAACACCAGGAACACAGCACCACCAGGAACCCTGCAACACCAGGAACACAACACTACCAGGAACACAGCACCACCAGGAACACAGCACCACCAGGAACCCAGGACAACCAGGAACACAGCACCACCAGGAACCCTGCACCACCAGGAACACAGCCTCACAAGGAACCCAGGACAACCAGGAACACAGCACCACCAGGAACACAGCCCCACCAGGTACACAGCACCACAAGGAACCCTGCAACACCAGGAACACAACACCACCAGGAACACAGCACCACCAGGAACACAGCCCCACAAGGAACCCAGGACAACAAGGAACACAGTACCACCAGGAACCCAGGACAACCAGGAACACAGCACCACCAGGAACACAGCCCCACCAGGAACACAGCTCCACAAGGAACCCTGCAACACCAGGAATCCAGCACCACCAGGAACCCAGCACCACGAGGAACCAAACATCACCAGGAATCAAGCACCACCAGGAACCCAGCGCCACCAGGAACCCAACCCCACCAGGAACACAGCACTACCGGGAATCCAGCGCCACCAGGAACCAAGCACCACCAGGAACCAAGCACCACCAGGAATCCAGCGCCACCAGGAACCCAGCGCAACCAGGAATCCAGCACCACCAGGAAACCAGCACCACCAGGAACTGAACACCACCAGGAAACCAGCACCACCAGGAACTCAAAACCACCAGGAAACCAGCACCACCAGGAAACCAGCACCACCGGGAATCCAGCACCACGAGGAATTCAGACAACAAAATATTATAACAAGATCGGGTCAGCGGGGATCGAACAGACGTTCTCAATTACGTTAATTAACGTATTCGCAAATAATCTTACAAATTAGACAGGCCCCTTAAAAACGTGTAAACGACAACACGAACCCAGACAATGCCCTTACAAAAGAGTTGCATCTCTTAGTCTTGCCAGGATCCAGTGATCGGTTCAAATCCCAGATTCGTCCTGATGGTGGGTCTTGGTTTGTCAGCCTCATACATCTCCTTGTGGGTTTCACCAAATGGAAGGGGGCACGGGTGGCCCACTCGTCTAAGGCGCCGCTATTCGCTGTGCAGAGTTGCGTCCCCTGGACACGCCAGAAACCTATGATTGTGGGTTCGATTCCCGGTCCGCCCCGATTATGTTTCTAGGTTTGTCAGCACCATACCCGTGCTCTCGGGTTTCACCGAAGTGGTAAACGTCTGAGACCTACATAACTTCGGGCTCTCCTCCCACATTAAGCTGACACGCCGCGATATAACTGGAATACTGTTAAAAGTGGCGTTAAACCCAACTCACTCACTCACCAAATGGAAGACGTCTTTATCGCGCTTCACTTTACATGATAGGACTTTCCTCCCACCTCAAGCAGACACGCGTAGTATGATTGAAATATTGTTCTTTTACAATTTAACTAATCAAGACGGGGCGGTCGGGTAGCCTTGTGGTCACGCCGAAGACCTGGGTTCGATTCCCGACACGTATGAAACCCATTTCTGGCGCCCACCGTTGTGATATTGCTAGAATACTGCTAAAAGCGGCGTAAAACCATACTCACTCACTCCAATCAAGATACTGTTATACAAAAACAAACAGTAACACGGCGCATTCAAAATCTTCGTGTGACTTTTGTCTTTGGCGCGGTGTATTAGTAGGCTCAGAAATACAAGTACTGGCTGAGATCCAGGGTTTTCGGAGCAACAGTATCAGTTGAGTAGAGAAACACGGGCTGCATCATTTTATCACGTTACCTGATGGACAAACATTAATCACCCGGTTTTCCTGCAGATGGCAAAACAGTCGTTGATCCCTAGGCCTGACAACCAATAGCATTCCGACAATTTACATGGAGATAAGTCCACATGCCATGTATGTGGAGTATTTTGAACTGTGTGACCTCTCGATTCCGATGTTTTTACCTGTAATTTGAACGCTCAGGTAAGCTACCTGTTGACATCCAAAAGGTCAGGGACAAAACGGCTGCCACCTGTCACTATAATATCCAATACTTCCAAATGGCATCCGATCTAATCAGTTAGGCCAGACTGTCTGTTATTTCTTGGCTTAAGGTTGTTAATGCCCAATGGAATCTGTTTCGGCGGATAATCGCGATTGGATATTCTCTGGCGTTGACGTTTTATGTTTTGTGTATAATCCCTGTAGGTAGATGGAAAAAAAATGAAAATTTAAAGATCCTAATCTTTGTGTTCTTCAAATCAGCATAACATGAATACACTAAAATGTTTTTGCTATTTTTCTTATATATTTCATCGTTTCTAAATGTAAAATAATCAGCTCCATAATATTATGAATAATCCGAAGAACAAAACATCCCTTTGATGTTCCCTAAAAGTGGGTAGTTGATGGTGGAGTGTTTACAACACATGTTGCTATAGTAACCATGAATAAGATGTGGATTGGGTGGCATGTATCTACTATTACTGGAGATGAGAATTCGGCTACAGTCTGTTGTAAAGTATGGAAACTGGAAAAAAAGTGAGTGAGTATGTTTTTACGCCGCCTTTAGCAACATTCCAGCAATATCAAGGGAGGGGGGGGGGGGGGGGGGTGGTGGGGGGGGGGGGGGGTGGGGGGGGTGAGAACTGTTACATGCATATGTGCATACTCCAAAGGTCGCCATTACGCGGCCAGTGTGCACCATAAAATAAAAACACCCTTTACGCAGGTGCACAGTTTAACGATGCTTTCTAAAAGAAGAAAGAGCTAGCTGTTAGATAGCTGATACATTTCGCTACTGCTAATCAGGGTGTTTCAGAAGAACCAGGTGCACAAAATTCCTATTGTTTGTTTCTTTTCTGGACCAGAATATCGGGATGCGGTGACATACATCAGAGAGCCTCACCACCCGATCCCGCTAGTCGCTGAAGGCCAATTCTAACCCGGATAGTTATGGTCAGGTTAACGTGAGATGAAACGCCAACACGACCGAGTACGTAAACATCAAAGTGTACTACTGGTCACAAGAGCACGTGGATGACGTTGACAGTCAAAGAAGGAAATAAACGGGGTTAGGGGGTGAAAGTATTTTAACGCCGCCGTTGTATTCCAGCTATCTCAAACGGACGGAAAATAATCTTGTTTGGACCAGACACAGTGATTGATATTATGAACAACGTCCCATGTCGCCGGGGTAGATAGCTTGCATGTCACCAGACCCGCGAAGATCCGTGCAGAGAATAGGTCTTCAGCAACCCATGCTTGCTGTAAAAGGTGACAATGCTTGTCGTAAGAGGCGACTTACCGGATCGGTTGATGCATGTCATCGATCCAAATTGCGTAGATCGATGCTCATGATGTCAATCAATGGATTGTCTGGTCCAGACTCGATTATTTACATACCGCTATCAAAGAGCTGGAATATTGTCTGGCCTTAAAAACAAACAAACAAACAAACAAACAAACAAACAAAGCATGGCACCAAGCCTGATCATGCCGGTCTATTTAAGTCAACTCTTTCCACAAACAGGATGGGGACCAATTCTAACCCGGGATATCCGTGTTAAGGGGAGTGGATTTTTTTTTCTGTTTGCGAGGCTGACTACCCGATTCCGTTAGTCGCTTCTTCCAAGCATAGTCGCCTTTTACGGCAAGCATGGATTGCTGAAGACCTATTCTACCCCGGATCTTCCTGGGTCGTAAAGGGGAGTGTTTTGTGTTGGCTTTCACGTGATATGCACGTCTCTGTTTGATTTTCTAACTTCAAACATACATTCTAGCGACTGTGTTCTATGGACGTGTGAAAAGATTCAAATGAAGAAGGTTACCAGAGTAAATACCGTTATGATTGGACCAACTTTCATATAAAGTTCCGCTGCCTAAACACAGTGTGATGTGTACATTACAACGTCATGTTGCGTTTTCAACACATCAAACCCTTTGAAAACAAACAAAGTAGTGTAGAAACATAATATTTATTGATGTAAATTGATAACATGCGCACCTGAAAATTTGAACATTTTCTTAGTAGCGGGATGAGCCTCGTCCTTTTCACAATAAATCCTGTTCCGACTTCAAAGAATTAGACAAGGAGCGCTTCTACAAAGAGTCTTGTTTTGTTGGCAATGAGGATGTGATCAGCGTTAATTTATAAGTTATTGACACAGTAAACCGCCGTTTGTCCAGCGGTTAGTGGCGCTGCAAACTGGTTAAGGGACGGAATTATGTACACCAAACAGGTTAACGTTCTGAAAGTAGGCGTGTAGCAATTCCTTGTGGTTCCCCAACACATTTAATTCAGGATATCTAGCATGTTTAAGCAAAGATTATTTGATAACCTTCAACAATCATGGTGTAGTTCTATCAATAGTATATCTGATACCTTTAATTATAAACATTTTAAATCCCTGTTAAATGTAGAAAAATATCTTACACTCCCCATACCAGTACATCTGAGAATATGTATGACTCGTTTCAGATGTAGCAAGTTTAAACTTGCAATTGACTTGGGGAGATATACAAATGTACCATACACTGAACGATTATGTAAATATTGTATAGAAAATGGTATATCTTTTATTCAAGATGAATTTCATGTTTTACTTGTGAGCGTTATTCAGCCCTAAGAAATATGTATCTTAAACAGTATATCAAGTTTCAAACTTTAACATCTTTTACTGAAATTAATTCATCAGAAAACTTTGATGTTGTATATAACACATGTTTATATCTATATAAAGTCCAACGGCTAAGAGAAACTTAAATCGACTACTTCCTTGGCATGCGTAGTTCATGCAATCAACCATTGTCTGTATTATGGGCCTATGGCCTTCTTACTGAATAAACTGTCTGTCTGTCTGTCTGTCATGTTGCGTTTTCAACACATCAAACCCTTTGAAAACAAACAAAGTAGTGTAGAAACATAATATTTATTGATGTAAATGATAACATGCGCACCTGAAAAATTTGAACATTTTCTTAGTAGCGGGATAAGCCTCGTCCTTTTCACAATAAATCCTGTTCCGACTTCAAAGAATTAGACAAGGAGCGCTTCTACAAAGAATCTTGTTTTGTTGGCAATGAGGATGTGATCAGCGTTAATTTATAAGTTATTGACACAGTAAACCGCCGTTTGTCCAGCGGTTAGTGGCGCTGCAAACTGGTTAAGGGACGGAATTATGTACACCAAACAGGTTAACGTTCTGAAAGTAGGCGTGTAGCAATTCCTTGTGGTTCCCCAACACATTTAATTCAGGATATCTAGCATGTCCTGTGAGACTTAAATATTATTTCAAACATTTTCTGGAACAAATCAGCTTTCCACAAAATATCCTAACCCCCGGACAATCAAATCTTGCACTCGTCGCGTGGAATACCGGTGTAGGAGTCTCAAATGACTCCCAAATCTAGAGTTATTCGAGTCTATGTTTTATTTTTTCTGTAATCATTTTATTTCAAAACAAGGGGAATCATTTGGGCCCAGTAGGGGAGTTCGCTGAGCCTAGAGAAAGTGTTTTGAGCCTGGCTAGGGGAGTCATGTGAGCCTAGGCCCATATGAATCAAATTTAGGGGGAGTCGTTTGAGACTACTAAACCGGGGTTACATGCTTGGGTGCCCGCGTGACTGACGGTGACCTTTTTTGCATGTGATGTTTAGAAACAAAACCACACAAACAGGCATGTATAGTCCTATATAAACGTAAAAATTATACAGCTCAACGTTGGACTTTTATATTATATATATATATATATATATATATATATATATATATATATATATATATATATATATATATGTGTGTGTGTGTGTGTGTGTGTGTGTGTGTGTGTGTGTGTGTGTGTGTGTGTGTGTGTGTGTGTGTAAATAATTATGTAAAGTTTGTCGTTTTTATTA